GTCAATGAAGCCTCATGGCATAAAGTATCGGATATGGTGTATGTTGATCAACCACCAATGGTATGATTTAGTGATGGAGAATTAATTCAAGAATTGAGCCAGGTGCAAGTTTACTTTTTTAAAATTTTTAGAAAAGTACTTTGAGTTGTTTCCTGAAGATCTCGAAAATGATATCTACGTTGCTGGTGAATCTTTTGGTGGGCAGTATGTCCCTTATGTCGCCCGTGCCATACTTAAAAGAAATGAAAACTTGACAAAAGTGGACGATGAGTATAAGCTAAAGGGGATTATGATTGGCAATGGATTGGTGTCGCCAAACGAACAATTTCTATCCCTCATTGATTATTTTAAAGACCACTCCTTGATTGATGACTCGAACCCTAATTGGGCTAACATAAATAAAGCTCAAAGTGTTTGTCAGGAAATAGTTGACGGAGAGGAGACTAGTTTAAATGAAAACAAGGCCCAAGTCTGTACCTCCCTTTTGGGCCTCTTCTTGAATGCCACCAGAGACGAGTCAGCTCCAGCCGACCAACAATACCTCAATATATACGACTACAAATTGCACGACGCTTTTCCAACTTGTGGATTTTCTTATCCTCCATTAACGGAAGCCAACAAGTTTCTTAATCGTTGGGAAGTACAAGCAGATCTCAATGTTGAGCGTCCTGTAAACTATACTGTTTGCAATACAGTTGTCCAAAAAACATTCACAGCTCCCAACTCACCACCCGACAAAAACAATTTTGCGGGTATAGTGTCCCAAATTCCCATCGTTTTGTAAAATGGGGCCTTTGATATTCTCTGCGACACAGATGGAGTTTTAAAGTACGTATCAAACATGACCTGGAACGGTGCAACTGGGTTTACAGATATCAACAACAGGACTGATTGGAGTAGTTGAGGAAGAAAAAGCTGGATGGGTACTTCAAGACAGAAATTTGACTTTTATCAATATTTTCAACGCCAGTCACTATGTTCCATACAGCCAGCCAACAATGGCCAAATATTTGCTTGACTTTATTACAAGTGAAACTACAGAAGACATCGAAGGTTTCATTAGTCTGTCAGATGAATAACCTCGTCAAGGTAAGCTGCACCTACGTGGATTCATTGTTTTCCATAGAGAGTTTGTATAAAATTGAATAAAAGTCGCCGTTGAGATTTAGAGAATGTTTTTAGATAAAAGTGACGTAAATGTGTCAACTCTCTTGCTCCCAGTTCTTGGGCTGCTTTGGACTTGAAGTTCAAGATTAAATGAATGCGAAAAGGCAAAAAAAAGAAATGTGGTTGCGAATTATAAAGTGCATACCCCTAACCACGTCATGTAAACCATTGCGTGAGAACTCACACTCCTAAAAAAAGAGGTCTTTCCTGACTTGAATCTTTATCCAAATTGCATCAGTTAAATTGTATTAGCTTTGAGCCACTCAGCAAACTGCATTATCTGTGATAGGCTTTTCTCCTCCTCCTCCTGGGAAGCCTCATGACGCAAGGTGGAGGCTCTAAGTATTGTTTTGAGCCAACAGGATTAAAAGATTTAGAGCTTTAAGTTTGGTACGAATGCACCTATTGTACCATTTTTCAAAACTTTGCTTGAAGTAAACAAAATTTAGAAAGTTTTACTTGATAATTTGACGAAAAGTTCTTCCAAAAAAGTGATTTGCTAAAAACAGCAGAATCACATTCAGATTGAATAAATCATAGCCCCTGACGCAAGTAGAACACTTAGGGATACAAATAGAAACATTTATTATCGTTCTAACCCCCATTTGAAATAATAATTGAACTTTTCTTTTACCGAAGCGTGATGCAAAAAAATAGGACCCCTTCTACAGAAATGAAGCCAAAACAAGAAACAAGCGCAAATGGTTTAGTGGTAAAATCCAACGTTGCCATCGTTGGGCCCCCGGTTCGATTCCGGGTTTGCGCATTTATTTTTCACTTTTTTTTCTGTTTTTTTTTTGCAGTTCATTTTCCAATGCGGTCTTCCAATGTTTGTTCCTCGAATACTTGAAAGGGATGGTGATTTGTTATCTATAAAGTAAACATGCATGTTGGATATTGCTACCGTATACACTTGTACTGGGTGGGAGAAAAAGAAAAGGGGGGTTCGAAGGAATGCTACATTCTTTCATTAAACTATACATGATGTATCGCAGTTTTACACTTTGCGCGATTGCACAGTTAGTTTAGTTTTTTCATGCTCGAAGCTTGAAGTTAAGCTCTACGTGGCCGAAAATAAAGTGAAAGTCGTACGACATATACAAAGAGGCCTAGGATGCATGTTATTTTAGCCATTGCATTTACAACAAGACTAAAGTTAAAACCACGCCATAAAGAAATGTGATGCAACATTGATCTGTTACACTTTACTGCTTTTTAGGAGTGCGTGTTGGTGGGATGGAAGGAGGTTACTAGGGTAATAGTAGTAAAGTTTTAAAGTTTAAACTAATCGCTAGCTAAAGTTTAATTTAGAAACTAAAACCGAGGAGGGGTCAAGCCGAAAAATAATAAAAGTTTATCTTTGAATATTGGACAGCCGAGGAACGAAGTTCTTCTGGGCCAAACCCTCCAGTTCGTAGCGGGTATCCACTATAACGCTACTGGTCGTGTAGTTTAGTTTGGATAGCATTATTCAAAACAAACTGAGGTTGCATAGCATTTGAGTACCACTTCTCTTCAAAGTCGAACAAAGACATGGGCTAAGTACAGTTTATGGAAATGTCTTTGTTGTTTTTGCATTTAGATCGCACATCAGGCTTTCCTAAATAGGGACACTTCGGTATAATAAAAGGTGCTTACTTCTCTCTGGGCGGCATTAAAAACATTGTACACATGTGTGACGGCATTGTCAGAGAGAGGCCATTAACGAAAGCTATACGGAGTGCTTTGTTTACAAGGAAAGGTCGAGCAGTTCCTGCGGAAATACAGAGAATGATAATGACAACAATGGAAAGAGGTTTGAATCCAGACAGGCACATTTACATCTTCTTTTTCTCTCTCTCTTTCTCTCTCTCTCTCTCTCTTTTATGCGCCATGCATTTACAGGTTTACTAACGCTCACAACGATGATCTGATATTTCCCTTTAGAGAGGGAAACATTTTGGTTTGGGCAAAAGAAGTGGCATCATCTGCCAATAAAATCGCATGATGCTTTGGGACTAAATATGGAGATATCGTTTCATTAAGCTATCACAGTTAGTCCCCATATTATCATGCATCGGAGGATAAAAAACTTTTCACATAATTATTATTGTTTTTCACTTTTTTAAATTCCGCGGGTACTTACGCACAGATGTATGGTCTAAAAAAGAAATACAATGTGTACAAACTGTGCCATTTCTCTTTCGCCACAATAACACTTAAACACTAACAAAGGTTAGAAGTGTTGCCGACCGGGCATTTTTTTTGACAACCGTACATATGCAGAATAGACATTTTGAAAAGGGTTTTATTTTAAAAAATAAGAGACTGAAGAGGGCTTTATTAGGGGGAATTTTATGTCCCATGGATATAAGGTTAGTTTCGACCGGAAGAGGGCTTCTGTCGGGTCCTGTTAAGAAGAAGGTTGTTTACCTAGAAGACAGTCTGCACACTTTTGGCATTACAGCTCGCGTGACAGAGATGGAGTCTAAAATAGATGGTTACACTTATTTGATGTGTGAAAAAAAAATGCCTCAGACACAATACGCGATAAAAACGTGACGAAGGTTTGCATATACGAATACTACACATTAATGCTACCGAGGCCAAGCTCCACCCGATGTGCGGTTGTAAATCTTCTGCAAGTTGCGTTTTTGCGCTTCCATTTGCAGCTCGGCTCTGCAAAAGTGTGTTCCATGCATGTATAATAAGAGAAACGAGAAATATCGTACGAAATGAGGGTGAAAAGTTTGATCATATGGCTTTTCTATTGTTTTTTTAGAAGAAGATGATAGCTTGCCCCGGACTTATGCGATATTGTTAAACCACCATTGTAGGAGTTAACAGTAAATAATGAATGGAACTGGTCATGGGTGATCTCTACAATGCCTAGATCCTTTGTTCTTTTTTTTGCTTTTAATTTGTGTTGGGTAAAAAATTCTTTTAATTCTCTCCACGACTCATTGTGTAATGTTTATTGCTGCGTCTTTTTTAAAGTTAGGCGCAGTACATTTCCCTTTGGGCTGTTATGTAATGCAAAAAGAAAGGTAGTGCACTTATATACAAAATTACCTAAACACAAAAAGATGCAAAGATTTGTAAAAGCCCAAATAAAATAGAACCATCGACTGCAGTTGCCAGTGGAAAGACTTTTGTAAGTATCGCGTAGAGAAAACACCCCTTTTCTTCTGTTATAGGCAAAGACCCACTTTCAATGTGGTACACTTCGTAAATTAGTCCAGAGCTTAGTGCATTTATCTATGTTTCGCTTAAAAACGATGGTTAGGATGCGGCAACGCAAGAGGTGGGAGTATGTATCCTGCCCACTGCGACAAGGTTAAGCATGTCCCCAAGAAGGGGGTATTTACGAGCTGCAAAGAGACTATTCTCACAACCAAGGTATGCAGTTGGTCTCGAGGCTTGAGGCAATACAGACCAATTATTCATTTTCCCGAAATGTCAGGAAAAAAACTTAGCCCACTTTCTGTCTGTTAAGGACGGATTTAACACACATGTAAAACCAAATCGAATGCATTACCTAAAAACCGTCAAAAATGGCCAGATAATCACAAATGTATGATTTGCATGGAACACCCGACCCATATCTATGACAAAACTGCCTTTTTTAAGCCTTTACTACTTGTTTATTAAAAAAACTCAATCTGTACAGCTTTTAGTTCATGCATGACCGCAATTTTCTCTTCCAAAGAAAGAAGAAGAGAACTAAAGAGAAGAAGGTTTTGGCAAACAAAGAAATAATCTGTGAATGGAATTTCTTTACCTTTAATGTTGCACAAATACAGAGACACAAGACTTTTTTTCATATTTTTTTATTTTTTATTTTTATTTTTGGCGCCTACTGCACATAAGCATCTTTGTTTATTAATAAGCTAAAAGCATTGTGTTTATTCGACACCAGGCAAACAAGCAGCAAATATAGATCGACAAGCAGGTACCTCTGAGCATAAAGAGAGAAACCTGCCTTTTTCATAATTCAATTTGGCGACAGCCTATCTCGCAGCTTTTCTCCAGGAGTTTATTCTACAATCTATAAATACTCCAGTGTACATATCAACATGAAACTCAAATAACTTTAGCCATCTTTAATTTTGTATTTTTTTTTCTGGTAGTTTTGCTCTTTCAATCTTTTGTGCATGAAATCTTTTTCTTTTAGTTCTTTTTTTTTAGTTTAAGTTTGTTATTTTTATTGTTATAGTTATTGTTAATTTGGATCATGAGTCTCATTTTTTTGTTGCTTCTTTGGTTGGGTGCATTTGCATTGTTGAGATGCAGGTTGGGCTAAAGCTGCATCCTTTTTTTTTTTGTATGTAAAGTCTAAACTATAAACATTGAAGCAAAAAAGGAAAAGGACAACTCTTTATGTGTGCTTACGGTCATATTTTGGAGAGAGAGAGAAACAAAACACAATTGTTTATAAAGTGGGCCAGTTTTCCAAATTTTCTCGACACTTGTCTGACTCAACCTTTTGACAACCTGGAATCAATTCGTCATTCACTGCCAACCCTTGAACAAACATTTCCAACCAATCTCGGAAGTCCATTTTGCCATATTTCCAACCAAGAAAAACAACAAAAGGAAGAAAACATCTATTCCAAACTATAAACAGTGAAAAGTAACATCAGTTAGCCTAAAAGTATAAACAAATCAGCAAAAACATCGGAAGTTTATTCACACAAGCAAAGTTTAAACTTGTATCAAACCCATTCCCCCTGTAACATTAGAGATAACCCACCCCCTTAGTCATTTCTCTTGTTGCATCAACATTCACCAACACTAATTTCTTCAACTAATTGAAATCAAAGGGGACAATAATTAATAAATCACTTGTTGTCTAGAGATACAAAGTCAGGACAACGTATAAAAAAATACGACACCGATTGCAGCAAAGCAAAAAAAAATAAAGGAGAGAGAATCCCTTGCATAGAGATACATATATCGTTTATTCTTTGGCACATAAACTCACATAAATTGAGGCACATTTACACAAACAAAAGTCCTCTTGACAAAAAATATATACAATTGGGACACAATTCAAAGAGTCAACACGTAACTTTGGTCAAAAAAGTCTTAACACATCGGGATATACTTACACTTTTGACGATCATTTGAAATAAACTAAAGTTCCGCTTATTTATTATTCATCTTTCTTGTTTTATTTTTAAGAAGAATAAAAAGAGCCGACAGAAAAATTATAATCAGCTCATTTTTTTATTTCTTTTTTGCACAAGTCATTTAAGTTAAGAAGAAGAAGGTCACATTATATTCAATTTGGAAGTGACACACTCACACAACAACGACGTTTCATTTGAATATAGCCTTTAAAAGCTCATAAAGAAAAGGAGAGATCATTTATAAGGGCCTACTTATAATTTTTAATTTTTTTTGTTTTTTTCCTTTCCAGTTACACATACCAAACGGAGAGACTGAAATAAAAAAAAAATAAACATAGACGACGGAGATTGTACATCGAGATACAGATCTTGCACATTCACAAACACACATACAGGTACAGAGATAACATTAACCACAGATCGGGAGTACAGATCTAGAGACTTTACTTACTAAAAAGAGAACAAAACGATTGGAGATACCGCCACTAGAAAGGGACCACATCTCAATTAAAACCAAATTGTGACCTATAATTCATGTCTACTTATTCCATACCACATATCAATCAAATGAACGGAAACTATAGCAGTGCAGGTGTGCCACAAAGCGGGGCTTCAGTGCCACCAGGACCAAACACACCCCAGTATTCGCAACAAACAACAAGCGCCGAAACAGCCACTGGCACTCCCCAGCAACAGCAACAGCAATCGCTGCAGTCACAACAACCTTATGGGTCTTATTACATGTACAACCAGCAACAGAACCCTCAACAACTGGACTACAGCTACAGCCGTTACCAGTATCCAGGAAACGCCCAGTCATATTACCCACCATCACAAAGTGGCCAACAACAGCAACAGCAGCAACAACCATACGGTGGAAATAGGAATTACACTAGTGCACCACAGGGTGCCAATTCAACTGCTTCGTCAGTTTCGCAACCACAACATGCAACCCCATCTCATCAACCCGGGCAAAGACCATTGCCTCAGCAGGACACTCTCAATCACACGTCCACATCGACAGTGGGCCAGTACCAGCCACCAGGAATTAGACCAAGAGTGACGACGACGATGTGGGAGGATGAAAAGACCCTATGCTATCAAGTGGATGCCAACAATGTTAGTGTTGTTCGTAGAGCCGACAACAATATGATTAATGGAACTAAATTGTTGAATGTGGCTCAAATGACCCGAGGCAGAAGAGACGGAATTTTGAAACTGGAGAAAGTGAGGCATGTGGTCAAGATTGGGTCGATGCATTTGAAGGGAGTATGGATTCCTTTCGAGCGTGCATTGAGCATGGCGCAGAGGGAGAATATTGTTGATTTGTTGTATCCTTTATTTGTCAGGGACATCAAGCGAGTGATTCAAACAGGAGTGACGCCATCTGGGGGAGCTGCCGGTGGTAGTGCTAATTCGGGTGCTGCTGCCACAGTCACAAGTTCAAATACTAGTCCTTCAGTGTCGAAAGCTAGTGCTGGTCCGTCAACTAGCGCAACTACAACTCTGGCGGGACCTGGTAACTCATACTACCAAGGATATGGAGGAGGGGCAGGTGGGTATCCACAACAGTACACATACCAACAACAACAGGCACAACCGGGACAGCAAGTGCCACAAGGACAAGACCAGTACCAGAGTCAACCATACAATTACCAACAAAGTGGATACTATTCAAACACCAGTGGTAATCAAGGAGCAAGTGCAGGTGCAGGTGCAGGTGCTGGAGTTTCATCATCATCCTCAACGTCATATCCTTACCAGTACCAACAACCTCCACCACAACACCAGTTGCAAGGTTCCTACAATAATTACGCTACATCATCCACATATCCCGCACAATCAGGGAGTGCCCACACCGGAGGCGTAGGTACTGCTAGTGCAGGAGGACCAAGCAGTACCGGCGCAGCAGGAACACAACAACATACACCACAACAGCAATCTGCAAGTGTAGGAGGAACGCATGTTTCGCCACACCAACATACGCAGCAACTGCCAAAAGTTGGTAAGTAAATGCGACTGAGAGAAGAAAAGAGGAAGGAAGTAGCCAGCGACGAGGAGGTGGCGAGGAGGTGGCGAGGAGTTGGCAATTTTGTTTTTGGACACATATACTGGCTAAATCCAGGCGTGCGTTTTATTTATGACAGTCTAAACTGTATAGTTTTTCGAGACATAAGCATTGTATAGTTTTAATTGTATTATTACCAGTGTTTGATGAGATATGTGTAGCAGAAAGAGAGAAGTAGAGCTCAGCATCTATAAAGTATTGAACAATAACAAACTTTTGCGCAAACCTGTCAAATCTGTCAAGCCTGTCACAAGCCTGCCAAACGAGCATAACGTTACAGGTCTGGGGTCAACGACACATACATATGCATGTACATGTACATATTCACGCTTATAATATTTTAAGCCTGTGTCGGTTGGTCATCGCTTGTCGGGCGGAGACCTTTCTCTTAGCATTGTTTTAATTGAAACACAAATTTCTCTCATACGCCATCGATTATAACAAAGAAAGGCATGGTCTAAAAAATTGTAAACAAAAAAAAAATATCGTATGATTCTCTCAGTTTCTTTGTTAACCTTTTTTATTTTGCTTTGTGATGCTTTATACAACTAACAATTCATTTTTGTTTTCGGATTTACCCGAGATACTTTGCTTTTTTTTTTCTTTTTCCATCTTTGCTTTCCTGCATGACTCTCTGTTTTCAGCAATTGAATTTGTTATGCACCATCTAAAAGACAATAAGTATACTGTATAGTCTAAAAATAACAAAGGAAAGGGAGAAAGAGCAGAATTGAGTATTGACTAAGGTTACAAAGCAGAACCACAAATTGTCTTCTCTGCGCTTGTTCTACACATAGACTCCTTTGCTCTTGACGCCAATAAAACACAGGCAATTACATACAAAACGACAACAAATTTCACTTGAAGGCGGACTTTATTGTTTTTAATTTGTCATGAAATTTTACTCATAGATATGGTTGTATATAGATGTAGTTGCGGTTAATGGAACAGGCTAACATCAACCGTAATAGCATCCGCAGGTTTATACAAAACCGTTCCACACGCATTTACTGCAAGTGTCGTACGATTTAACCTCTTTAGGCAGACAGCAAAGCAAACTCTAATTCAACACTTTTTGTGACATTTTATTATGCGCGGATTTGATACAGTCACTCCTGTTCATAAAGCCGCACCTCCTTTTTTTGTTTTCGCTGGGTGCCGGTTATGGTTGCTCTGGAATGTTACCAGCAATGACTGATCCTTTCCGCAATCCACTCATTTGTTGAAAAGTTTGTGAAATTTTCGCGTTCCTTTACCCCACCCCACTGTGATGATTGATGGATTCCGATTTCTGAGACTTCATTTTTGTATGCGCAAATTGTCCCTTGTGTTATACATATATTCGATCCACATAGCTTTTCTCAATCACACATACCCCAAATGAGATCTTGAGATCTCAGTGCGATGAAATTCTGCATTTGATACAGCTAAATATAAAGACAGGCATCGCCTACTTTCAACTCTGTGCCTGATGCATTTAGGAACAATTTTAAACTTTACACATTTTACGAAGCGCTTTACTTTTGACAGATTCGTACTAAAAGTAAAGTAAAGCGTGAAGAGAAAAAAAGAAAATACAAAGATTTACTTCGTCTAGCGTACACACACATATGCATACACAGCTACCCTGTAAATAAGACAAACCATCGTACATATGGGATCTCAATCAATAATAAAGCAGAATGGATAACCGAGTGCTTTATGCAAGAGAAGGATTTGAATTGTGTGGGAGATTTAAATCTCTCGTGTATGTGATGATGTTGATGTCAGTGTTGATGCTGATTAAATTTTTTGTTTTTTTCCTCTCGTTTAAATTCATTCTATTGTCTTTTATGTTATGCAATGTACGAGCGGTAAACTGAGAATCAGACTGCGTTGTATTAACTTAACGAATCATGCATACTGGACGAAACTGGATGGTGCTATGACTAGTAAATAAAGAGTAATTGCAGCCAAAAAGGGATACCATAGGAGAAGTCTGTTGGAACACCACTTTTTTAAAAAAAGGATTCCAAACAAAAGTGCAGTCAATTGTGTCTCAGGGGCAAATCTCTGACTGAAAAGGGGTATCCCCGCAAACTGTAAACCTCTCATGCCTTGAAAACAAGTGGCTGCGAAATTTTACCCTTTCATTTCTCCAGTGGTTGACCGAAACAAAGTTGGGCTTAAGTCTATTGGTATGTAGACGATGCAGTCGGTGATTGCTAATTGTAAATGTGGGTATTCAACTAGCTCCCTCTGAACTTAAAAGAGATGGCAAAGAGTAAACTCAACCACCCCCCTCTTGGTACGGCTCTCAATTACAGATATACATCAATTACCCCAACATTTTACTTTCCCTTTTCCTTATCTAACCCAGCCGTGGCATATAGCTACTTAAAACTGTAATTGGTCGGATTAGCGACGTCTCTCACCAAGAAGATAACAATTATTTTTATTCAATCAAAATTTGCGCCCGCGCCCATTTTTTTACTTGGCTTTGTTTACGGCACCAAAACTTTTTATACATTTCCCGAACGCATGATTTGTGAAATTGTGAAAGAGGATTCGAATAAAGCGTTATTAGGGTGGTTTAAATTGGTTTCGGCTCTTGATTCTCCAATCTGCACATTGGAATGGCCACAACTAAGAATTCAAAATGTGGTCTCAAATTCGGGGTGGCACTTACTAATACCTTTGTAGAGCAAGAAAAATTGGGAAATAAATCACTCACGGCTTTTCACCGAGAGATAACAGACCATCTTTTGATACTACACACATGGCTTGAAAGCATTACTTTCCCCAGAGAGAGATAGGAAATTAAGCAACTATGCCAAGACGTTTGAAACCACACAAGGGAAATAATTCATTTCTGAAGCCGTATTACCAAATCTGGCTAACTTTATTTTTATTGATTGAGAAGAAGAAGAAAAAATAAAAGTCATTTGCGATTACTATACTGTCCAACGAGGTAACATTGTCGTGGTACTTTTATGAAAAACTTTCTTGCCAATGAAGTACACGCAAATAGAAGAAAACTTCGGTTATACAAAGATAACAAAAGTCACAGGGTTGTGGTTGCCTCTTATGCGTTGAATTGCCCCAGACTTCACGGACACCAATCTAGAAAATTCTCTCCGCTGAGATAATTTTCACGGTGAAACTTGTTCAGTTTCCTTCCTTTTCTTTTTTGAAAAAATATTTGTACCCATTGTTTCCAAGCAAAATGACATGGCGCCACAAAGTATATGGCATCGTGATATCACAACCACATTACTGTTATCAGATAGGTATATATTCTATAGTTTATTTTGATATTTTCTTGGGGGAAATATTTCTTGGTATAGCGTTGCAGTTTGTCACTAGTTTGGTAAGAACATCCACGACCCGGGGCCACCCTTACAAATCAGCAACACGTAAAGCATCTTTCGATATAAAATCAAGCCAAACCTTCCCTGTACTACCCTTTCCATTTTCCAAACCTTGTTTCCTCTCTACATTTGACAAAGTTGTGAGTCTTTATTTTGCACCCACTTTGAAAATACAACAACAATGTCAGAAAAGATTCATATTGCAGCAATCAAGTCGGTTCAGTCAGTAGACCACATCCTTGACGTTGCTGACCACGAGATTGACTTGCACGCTATCCAATCCCATGCCATCTCAGTTGGAGACGTGGGGACTTCACTTACCGAATTTCAAAAACGCTTGATTTTGAAAAGAATGAACTTGCATACCATCGTCGATCTCAGTAAATTATCACCAGTAGCTGTATTCATGATTGAAAAAATTGCCGGATTGACTGTGGATGAGTCGATTAAAATTGTGAAAGAAGCCATCATTGAACACGACGAAGATGTCAACATCCCAACTAAAGAGTATGACTTTTGGGAAGTTTTGGCTGAATATAGCGACCTGAACGTGAGCGACGAAGGCCCATCCAATTCCACAACTTCGTTAGACAAAGCAGCAAGCAACAAGGAGAAATGGGATGAGAAGCAAAAGGTTTCTGAAATATTCAACGCTGGAGAAACACACCTGGACGAGGAAGACCAAGACTTTGATTGCTTCAAGATTATCGACTACCCTCTTCAACTTAGATTAGAGGCGGCATTGATTGCATACTACTCACCCTATCCTGAAGTCAGAGCAGTCACCGAACCATACGACGACTCTTCCATCCCATGTGAAACATTCCGTGTGTACTTGCTTGGTATCATTTGGACGTGTTTGGGTACCTTCATTAACCAATTCTTTGCTGAAAGACAACCAACTATCACCTTGTCGTCAACTGTTGTTCAATTGTTCTTGTATCCTTCGGGAAAGCTTGCTGAAAGAATATTGCCCAAAAAGGTCATCAAGCTTGGAAAATGGCACATTGATTTGAATCCTGGCCCATGGAACCACAAGGAACAAATGTTGACCACAATCTTTTATAGTGTCTCCGGTGGGTTCTCCTACGTTAGTTATAACCTCCACGCCCAGAAAGTCGAGCGGTTCTACAACAATCAATGGGTCGATTTCGGATATCAAATATTGCTTACCATGGCCACTAATTATCTTGGTATTGGATTTGCTGGGCTCTTGAGAAGATTTGCCATTTACCCTCATAAAGCAATTTGGCCAACTATTTTACCAACCATGGCATTGAACAAAGCGCTTGTACAAACCGAAACCAAGGAAAAAATTCACGGTTGGACTTTGTCACGGTACAAATGGTTCTTTTTGGTTTTCGCATTTTCCTTCTGTTACAACTGGATCCCAACGTTTCTTTTCAATGCCTTGTCGTATTTCAACTGGCCAACTTGGATTGCTCCAACCAACCCTACTTTGGTTGCAATTACTGGAACTGCCTCAGGGTTGGGTCTCAACCCATGGCCAACATTTGATTGGAACATCTTGAACTTCAATGGCTGTTTGATATATCCCTTTTATGCTCAAGTTAGTCAATATATTGGCACACTTTTGGCATTCCTTGTTATCGTGGCCTTATGGTTTACCAACTACAAATGGACAGGTTTTGTTCCCATCAACTCCGCCTCCTTGTGGGATCGCTATGGCACAATATACTCGGTGGAGAACATAGTCAATGATGAGACCTTATTTGACCAAGAAAAATACAACTCGGTTGGACCCCCATACTATTCCGCTGCAAACTTGGTTGTGTATGGTGCCTTCATTGCCATCTACCCATTTTCGATCGTGTATGAAGTCTTTATGAATAGGAAACCAATTTGGTCGGCAATGAAGGGATTGACTCGTGGATTAAAACACTTTAGAGGGTCGGTCTATGAAGGGTTCACCGACCCACATACGATAATGATAAAAAAGTACAAGGAGGTCCCCGACTGGATCTTTGCTATAGTGTTGGTAATCTCAATTGCCTTGGCAATCATTTGCGTTCAAATCTATCCTGCGCAAACGCCTGTATGGGGGATCTTCTTTGCAGTTGGTATCAATTTCGTCTTTCTTATTCCATTGACGGCAATTTACTCCACCACTGGTTTTTCCTTTGGCTTGAACGTGTTGGTGCAATTGATTGTTGGATTCGCATTGCCAGGTAATGGTTTGGCTTTGATGTTTATCAAAGCCTTTGGGTACAACATCAATGGCCAGGCACAAAACTATATATCCGATCAAAAAATGAGTCATTATCTCAAGATTCCACCAAGAGCTGTTTTCAGAACTCAAATGCTTTCCATTTTGATTGCGTCATTCTTGGGTTTAGCCGTGCTCAATTTCCAAATTGCCAACATCCCCAACTACTGTGCCCCAAATAACACCCAGAAGTTCACATGTCCGGGAGCAACTGTGTTTTACAATGCCTCGATTTTGTGGGGTGTCATCGGCCCCAAAAAGGTGTTTGGTAGTTTGTATCCTATCTTGCAATGGTGTTTCTTGATTGGATTCTTGTTAGCCTTCCCATGCATAGCATTCAAAAAGTATGGTCCTAAAAAGTACACAAAGTATTTCCAACCAACGTTGATGGTCGGCGGTTTCCTATTCTATGCTCCATATAACTTGGCCTTCTACACCGGTGGGGTGTACATGTCCGTCTTGTTCATGTGGTTCTTAAAGAGCAGGTACTTGGCATGGTGGCAAAAGTACAACTTTGTCTTGTCGGGTGCTATGGATGCTGGGGTTGCTTTTAGCGCTATCATTATCTTCTTTGCAGTGCAATACAAGGAAGTTGATTTGGATTGGTGGGGCAATAATGTAATGTGGAGTGGAATTGAAGGAATGGGAGGCCAAGGCCGGTTGGATGCTGCTGACGCCCCTGAGGGTTACTTTGGATTGAGACCAAGCCAATGGCCATGAGGAAAATGTGTGTAGAGTTGTGTTATGCTATGTTTGTTATTTGAATATGGATCCTGTGACACTTGTATAAGGATGAATTATCAGCTTGATATCTTAGCATTATCTATGTCTACTATACCAGCGTAGTAGCAAAATGAAGCTAACCGTAGTAATGTCCCTAAGCACTATCAAATTTCATTTTCGCGCGTATATATAGTGCCTTTCTCTCTCTATCAAAGTTTTGTGTATCTTTTGCGGTCATTAGTAGACGCGTATTGAAAAAAAAAAGAATTTTTTGCTCAAGCGTAAACAAAAGTACAACCAAAGGCTCCATCTTTACGTTAATGAATCAACAAGAGACTCATGTACATCACACCCAACCAATATTTTTCAGCGTATAGAGACTTGAAACGAACTTCACTATCCCATTCAACATGCAAGCTAGTCATTTTTGTTTCTTGCTTGGATGTTGATTCACTATGTGCTGCCAAGATGTTTAGTTTGCTATTGAAGAAAGAGTTGATTCAATACCAACTACTTCCAGTGGTTGGATACAAAGACCTTAAACTGCATTATGATAGGTTAGATGGCGATGTGACTAATGTGGTGCTAATTGGATGTGGAGCCATGTTGGACATTGAAAACTTTTTGGAGGTTAATCCCGAGGAGTTGTTGGACAATAACGCTGACCAGCCAGAGGATGATCAAGACTTGAACGATGTAAGAGCAAACCAGTTCAAGAGGAAAATATATGTGATTGATGGGCACAGGCCTTGGAACTTGGACAATCTTTTTGGGTCCGAAGTTGTAGTATGTTTTGACGATGGATATGTCGATGGAACCTTGCTGGAGGAAAAGAAGGCTTATGAAGTGCTAATCTTGGAAGACGAGGAGGAAAATGAGTCAGGACCAGAATCGGACTCTTCTGATGATGAGCTTGAAGAAGAAACAGATGTCGATGTACCGTCAGAAGGCGAATTGGTCATCAGCTCCCAAGACTCAGAAGACACTGTCGCACGCAAGGGGAAACTACAAGACAGGTATTCAAAACAGCTCAAGAAACAAAGAAGACAAAAAAAATCGTTGAACGAGGATAGGTTGCAAAAATACTACAATCAGGGGTCGACTATAAGCACTGCCAATACAATCACGGTCTATGCGCTTCTTACAGCAATCGGTGAGACCAATTTGGAGAGTTTGTGGATTGCTATCATCGGTACATCATCCTTGGACAGCCACTACCCTGAGATATACGATAAGCTACAACCACTTCTTAAAGAGGAGGTGATGAGGTTAAACCCCGAGCACGAAAACACCAAGAAGAAAGCTGATCAAACGATATTACGTGTTGAACGAGACTACCATTTATTTCTACTACGGCACTGGACCTTGTACGATTCCTTTTTCTACTCAAGTCATGTGAATTCCAAATTGAACTTGTGGACAGATGAAGGGAAAAAGAGACTTCATAAGCTTTTTGCAAAGATGGGGGTTTCCTTGGCTGTTGCGCAGCAGAAGTGGCTCTACATGGATACCAAAGTGAAGCGACAATTGCCAATTATATTCCGACGCTACTTGCCAATCTACGGGCTCGAGGGGATTGTCAGGGAAGGGTTTATCAAGACATATGGATATACCGGTCTGCTTTCTGCGATGGAATGTGTTGAAGCCCTTAGTGCGCTACTCGAATTGGATGAAAAGTTTATCCAAGAAGCAACAAAGCTAAATGAGGAGGACAACAAGACTCTTGACAATGAAGAAGACAAGATAAGGAGGAGAATGGAGAGGAAGGAGAGCTCGTGGTTGAATAACTTTTGGTCCTCATGGGATGCATTAAATGTAACCAAGTCCTTAAAGACGAGTTCCAGCCAGTCATCACCATTTGCAAAATTAAAGGGAAGTGAGCTACTTTTTCGTGGGTTGGAGTATGCTAAGCAATTACAACAAATAACCTTCCGAACCGGTATGTCTTTGCTTGAGCGTAAAATGATTAAGAACTTGAAGCTTTATCGATTGTGTGTGTTGAATGACGGGGCTGTTCCTGATTTGGAGATATTCATTAACCCCTTGATGTTGTCAAAGTTAGGTTCTTGGTTGATTGAAAACTTGGCCGAGTTGGATTTCATTAATGGCAACCACTCCTTGAAGCCTTTAGTGGTGGCAAGTTTGGATGTGAGTAGTGACACTTATCTCGTTATTGGTCTTGCGCCAAGATACCCCCGTGGCATGAGCAATTCGGAAAAGGCTAAGTTGTTGCAAGAGCAATCCAACGATAAGATTACAGCTGAATCAATGACGACGCATTTGAATACATTCAGTGTGGCGTTCCAACAATTGTCCAACACCTCTGGAGCAAAAGTGCGGGTGGACAGTTTTGACAGTTCAATAATAGAAATTAGAAAAGATGATTTGGCGCCATTCTTGGAGAAGCTCACACTAAGTGGGCTCATATAGATGGATATAGCTTGACAAGATTTAATATTAGCACAGCCTTTTCTTTTATTTCTTGACCCGTACATTCTCTCCCCCATATAAGTCAGGTGAGAGTGCATCCCCCACGAAATATCCTGGATCCCCCACGCCCTTACCCAACAGATGTAATCTGCATCCCTTATCAAATAACGTTTCTGAAAATTTTAGTGCTCTTGGTCGTTAGTGATAGATCACTAACGTCACAAAAGCAATAAGGTTGAGGTGGATCGACATCAACCCCACACATTCGTCTAACCATTGAAAGTTTAATTTACAAACCAATTGAGGTAATTTCGGTTTGTAGATTTTATAGCCGAATAATGTTTTCCTTGCTGTGAATCGGTAGAAATACTCAGTAACACTTAATTCGAAAACTCCTTTGTTTTGACGCAATAGATTTCTTTATTGTTTCAAAATATTTTGTTTTTTTCGGAAAAACTTACAAGACTTTCGGAACAATTATTCGTTCAGTGAGTGGAGCCACTAGGACAACAACTTTTACAGTACACCACACCAATTGAGATTACAAGGCGGGTTCAAAAATAACCACTCAAAGGATAGTACACTTTACAGCAACTTTAAGTACCCCAGATAGTCTTTTGGTTAGGCTTTGGCTAAATGTGCACAAGCCCCCACGCGACCTCCACTCTTCCCCACCTTAAATTTGGGGGATCTTGCGAGTATTCTTCAGGACAATAGAAAAAAAAATAAAAAAAAAGGGAGAGAAAGAGAAGAAAACAATATGATATTATCACAAACTCGAAATTTTCGGGTATCCTGCTTAAGGATCTGATTGTACTGTGATTCTCTAGGGAGAAGAGATGGCTACATAGGGAAAGTTAAGGAAAGGGGGTAAGGAAGATGTCATTTCGAAGTCTAAGCTAATACATTATTATCTCTCTTTATTCTGATATGTGCTTGTCAAATGAAGCCTCTGAGTAGACCAGTAAGTAAACCACTCTGGGAAACGGCGGTTATGATATAATCGTACAGGCCTCTTTGTTTTTGCCAAGAATGTTTAGTGGCAGAAAAGAAATTTAACCAATTGTTAATTGTCGGACTAACAAAAACCAAAAGCCAACCAACAAACAAAACAGCATCACAAAATAGAAACATCATCACAAAAAAAAAAGTAGAAAACAAATTCATGCTCAATGCAATACACCACCACAAATCTCACCTGAGTAATGAATTTCACAAAATAAGGTTCCTATTGCTTTGCTACTACGATTAATAAGATTTGAATAATCCTCCCTCCATAATCAGCAAATGATATAAATAGTCCAGAAAAGTTTCTCACCTGGACATCAAATTAAGTCATTCATTTCTTAAGCTACATATACATTATAATACAGTAGCTAACAATGAGCAACGACGCTAGAAGTATACAAACTATAATGTCTGATGAGAAGTCGGACAAGGAATCAATGCATACGATAAACACTGTTCAGAGTGAGAAGAAGTCCAGGAACAGGTTCAAGATTAAAAACATCTTTGAAAAGGTTGAAGATAGGCCAACTCCACCACAGGTGTACAATTATAGGGTTTACTTGACTGCAGTCATGGCCTCGGCAGCAGCTATTATTATTGGCTACGATAGTGGGTTTATCGGTGGGACTGTTGCCTTGGACTCATTTAGAAAAGAGTTTGGCTTGGATGTTGCCCCTAATGAAGCTTACATCACGTCCAATGTTATATCGGTGTTTCATGTTGGCTGTTTCTTTGGTGCTTTGTTTTCGTATCCTGGATCGTACTACTTTGGAAGAAGAATCCCTTTAATTGCTGCTGCATTGTTAATCACTGTTGGTTCTGGTATTATGCTTGCGGCCAAAGATTCGGTAGGACTTGGACCTATATACGCAGGTAGAGTCTTGGCGGGCCTATCAGTTGGGTGCTCAACAAACTTGACGGTTGTGTACATTTCCGAAATATCGCCGCCGGCCATCAGAGGTCAGTTGACAGCAAGTTATGAGATTGGATGGAGAGTTGGTGATCTAGTTGGGTTCTGGATTAATTACGCTGTTGATACAAATATCCCTCTGGGCAGAAAACAATGGATGATTCCTTTTGCTATTCAATTGATCCCCAGTGGATTATTTTTGCTTGGAAGTATATTTATGAAGGAAAGTCCAAGGTGGTTGATGCAGGTTGGCAAATACGAACAAGCAATCAAGAATCTTACGTGGTTTAGACAATTACCAGAGACTGACGAGTATATCATCTATGAAATCAACCAGTGCAAAGAGAGCGTTGAAGAACAAAAAAACAAGGTTGGTTTGGGGATTATGGATCCATTTTATGAAGTTTTCTTCCACAACAAAAACTTGTTACATCGTTTATTCATCACAGTCATGTTGTTTCAGTTTTGCAACTTCATGGGAATTCAAGCCATCAACTACTATTCACCAAAGCTATTCAGTGGATTGGGCGTCAAAGGTGTCAATGCTTCGTTGTTCTCAACCGGTATGTTTGGTGTTGTCAAATTCTTTTGCACATTTTTCTACATCCTTGTTCTTGTGGATACTGTTGGTAGAAGACTTTCCTTTATGGTGTCTTCTGGGCTATGTTCAATTTGTTTCTGGTACATTGGCGCATACTTGAAGGTCAATGATCCAACTAAACCGGGAGTCCTGGCTGGTCCAGGCGGTAAAGCTGCTATAGGAATGATGTACATCTGGATTGCCTCTTTTATTTCTGCGTGGTCTGGTGGTCCTTTTGTTGTTGGAAGTGAAGTCTTTGATCAAAACATTAGGTCTTTTGTCCAAGCAATCAATGCTGCTTCATCCTGGGTAGCTATTTTTGTCATGTCTAGGTGGACACAACAAATGATCAAGAGCATGTCCTATGGAATCTACTTCTTCTTTGCTGCATTAGCTTTGGCATCCATTCCATTTGTGTATTTCTTTTTGCCAGAAACCATGGGTATTGCTTTAGAAGATATGGATAAATTGTTCAACAGAAAGATCCCAGCTAGAAAAGCTCACAAGATTGTGTTGAATAGTGTCAAGAATGAGAACCAAGAGATCTTTCTTGAGAACCATGAACATGGATTGTTCAAAATGGACACTAACAAACCCGAGACGGAGAACGTGGAAAATCTTTTTGAGAGGCAGGACAGGGTGTAAGCATTCGGCTTTTAGATTCTATTAATTGAACAATGGAATAAGGGAAGTATATAGGGAAGTAAGAGTTAGGAATAAAGGAAATCAGAGTTACGAATTAGTTTAATTGCTCATGTATTTTAGTTCTTAAGCATATACGCTGAGCGCTTTTGTGCTATTTTATATACACGCTTTAGTTATGATTTTTAGTTTCAATTAGTCATACAACTCATGCTCTAAGGAATCATTGAAGGAAGACAAGCCAGGGATTAGTTTAGCAAGGAGTTTTACTTTAGTTTAAAAAGTGACTCACCCATTTCTAAACAAAGTGTACTTTTTGAATTTTCTATAAATACCATTGAAATGACTTTCCTGGAGGAAGCTCTGGCCCAGATGTCAATTGCAACAATTTGAGATAACAATGTCATTGAAAAAAGTAGAGTCGAGCAACGTCTCAGTCAGATCATCTACGTCAACCTTATCTTCTGTCAAACTGACGCTAGGGCGCTTGAAGAAGAGAATGAACAGACAGAAAGACACAGAGCAAACTGCAAAGCAGACAGAAACACAACATGAGAGTAAAAAAGAACCATCAACTATGAGCTCAATCACAGTACCCCTATCGTTAAAGTGATTTTCGGGTGTGGCTGCTACTAATGGTTGAGTCAGAAGTTGCTCCACTCATTTCGGATTAATTAGATTTCTGCTGTTTATGACACTAAATTACATGACTGATTTTATTTGAGCCTAAGTGTAGCAATTAAGCATCTCTATTCCCTCTACCATACTCTTGTCTTATTGCTTCGTTGCATTCTGCACCCTTTTCACATACAATGCATGAGAAGGATTGGTTACAGACAATATCCCGCTGCTGAAACTACAAAGGAGCTACCAATTTGTTGACCCAAAGGCCATCTTCACCACTAGCAATGACCCCTTAAACTGATAAGTTGAATTCGTTCCTACATCAAACTGCCTCAGTTAAATACCTCTTCCCACGTTTCTCCGCAACCGGCTTGAAGCGAGGTTCCTTTTGTGTAATAATTAATATCCAACATGAATTTTCTGTCAACCTTTCCATATTTTCTAAGTTGCGAGAAATTAATTTCATATATCACATTGCTACTCCTCTAATCACAGCAAAAAATGTCAAACGGAAACCATATTGACGAGTCATCTGACAATGACCAAGAGTCCATTCTCGAATTCGAGAGATTGGAATCTACCTTACCACCAGCTTTGAGAAGATCGGCATCTTCCTTGTTGGAAGCCATTCATTCAACCCCTGTGCCTAATGTAGCAAGTCAAAGCAATGCTCACATTCAACAGGACCACGCAATTAGATCACCACAACCACATCATCCAAGAGAATTGGTAACTCCCTCAGGTACCCCTTCTTACCAACCAATTCCAGGTAGGAATGCAACAGCTACACCCAATTTGAAAAACGAAAGCTACAGAAAGACCCTCATTAGCAGATTGTCCAAATCGGAAAATGGAAGGGAATCATCGCCCATTCCGTTGCCAAAACCAAAGTTTGACGAAAACATTTTCAAACCGGCTATGAACTCTAAAAACTCATCCACCGGGGTGCTTTGGGCAACCGAGAGAGCAGCAGAATACGGATACGACTCTGAGAATGTCGGAGATTGGGCAAATCTAGGTCAGGGTGCCCCAGAACATGGAGATACAGTTCCTGGTTCTTTTCCAAGACCAAAGACTATCAATGTCCCAGATTGCTCGAGGGAATATGCCCCAACAGCAGGTATCAAGGAATTGAGGGAGGCAGTGGCCAACTATTACAATGAAACATACAGAAGTAAAAAGGCCAGCAAATATACATACAAGAATGTCTGTGTTGTTCCTGGTGGTAGAGCTGGATTGACAAGGATTGCATCAATCATTAGCGACTGCTACTTGTCGTTCTTCTTACCAGATTACACGGCGTATGCTGAAATGTTGTCATTATTCAAGAACTTCTCTCCAATTCCAGTTCCATTGAAGGAAGCTGACAATTATGAAATTCACTTGAAAATGATAAAAGAGGAATTGACAAGAGGTGTTAGTGCGTTATTGACTTCAAATCCAAGGAACCCTACTGGTCATTGTATGAAGCTGGAACAGTTACATCAGCTTCATAATATGTGCCGTGAAAAATGTTTGTTGATTATGGATGAATTTTACTCCCACTATTACTACGATGGTGGCTGCGATGGTTCTTCAATCAGTTCTGCCGAGTTTGTTGAAGACGTGAATCATGATCCAGTGTTGATTTTAAACGGATTGACAAAGGCATTTAGATTGCCCGGATGGAGAATTTGCTGGATTTTAGGCCCAGAGGATTACATTAGCGCCTTATCGTCAGCTGGATCCTTCTTGGACGGTGGTTCAAATGCTCCTTTCCAATATGTAGCTGTTGACTTTTTGCAACCCCTCAAGGTCAAACAAGAAATGAAAGCATTGCAATTACACTTTAAGATGAAAAGAGACTATATCATTGGAAGATTAGCCAAGATGGGCTTTAAATTCACCGAAAAGACCACTCCAAATTCGACATTTTATCTTTGGCTCAACTTGTCACACTTGCCCGGAAAGCTTAGCAACTGTTTAGGATTTTTCCACGAGTGTTTGCATGAGAAAGTTATTGTCGTTCCTGGGTTCTTCTTTTTGATTAATCCACAGAACTTGAGCAATTTGGAGGAAGTCATTTGGTACAATTATGTGAGAATCAGTTATGGACCCGAACTTCATCACTTGGAAAAAGGAATGGATGGCATAGAGCAAATCTTGTACAGATTTGGGTGCTTACCATACGAGTTGAAGTAGATTTGTGTAGCAGATTTTTGACAAGATGTCTTGTGACAGGTTTTTATTCCGTCGGTAGCGCATTATTTCTACACTTTTTTTTTTTTTAATTCACAAAATCTCTCTCTCTATTTGGAGACAATTAGACACCCGCCCCACCCTCGAGATATAGAACAGCATGAGTGATGCTACAACTTTCACAGGTCTACTATCCAGCCAAAAGACTATAGGCGTAACACACAGTGAGGGGCATGATGATGATGTGTCTCCGTTTATGCAGTTCCTCAACATGACTGGACTATTGAAAATACCGAAACTTATCGTTCACCTTCTTGCCATGAATTTTGAAATCAGTTTGCATATATCATCTATTCTTACAACGATTGCAGCAATTGCTGTGGTAGTACTACTAGTTATACGGTACAAGTACCTTACCGGATACTCAAAAGATCTTGATAAGAAGAACCTCCCCAGCTTGAAAGGCTCATCCCTGCGAAATCAGGGGCCCGATAAGGCGCAAAAATCGGCTAGTCTATTTGTCGAAAAGAGAAAGGAGGAGAAATCAAGTAATTACCTCGACGAGTTCCTCTCAGCAATTAAAGTGTTTGGGTACTTGGACAAGGCGGTGTTTCATGAGTTGACCAAAAGCATGACTACACAGAAGTTGTCGAGTGAGGAAGTATTGTGCCTTGATGAAAAGATTGGATTTCTGATCGTTGTTGAAGGCACTGCCCAGGTGTACACCAAGATATCGAAAAAGAGTTCGTTGACGGGCTATCGCGGCAGTAACAATGGAGATAGTCCCGAAGACGAAGATGAAGACGAGGATATTCAGCATTTTGACGACTACGAAACGAATGGCGATTTTTTCAAACTTGGAGATCAAAACTACCAACTTTTAAATGAGGTCAAAAGTGGCGCACCCTTAAGCTCCTTGATATCGACTTTGGAGCTTTTCAAGCCACATAAGAGAGGAGGTTCCATTATGTCACCAAACGGGCCTGTACTCACACCGAACGAGGACTTTAAAAATGGTGTTGCATTGAATCTAGATTACATAGGCAAACCGACTGCAACCGTCAAGGATAGGGGTTATGAAGAGGAAGAGGAAGAGGATAACAAGGACTACCCTGATATTATTGTGCGTCCGAAAAAGAAAAGGCATACAGACACAATGACAATTGCCATTATTCCACACTCCGCTTTTGAACGAGTTCAAATGAAGTATCCCAAAGCCACCTCGCACATTGTAATGATGGTGTTGACAAGATTGTACAAGGTGACCATGAATACGATTCACAATTATTTGGGATTGACAGGAGAAATCTTCAAAGTTGAGATCGAGTTGAATAAGTCAATGAACTTGGGGTTGCCAAGTTACTTGGTGGACGGGCTTGTGGAGAGGTTGAAGCAAGGTAGCAATCGGTCTAAGAAACGCCCCAAGCACCATAGACGGAGCCCGTTGGAAAGAACATCTTCACGGTACGTGTTGCTAAACTCTAAAATCAAGAGCAATAATCCAGGTGATTTGTTGTCTTCAGTGCCGATCTCTCGTGATGATCCCAACCAGAGAGCCCTGAAATCGTCATTAACCCTGTTGATGGATGAGAGCAAAAGAATCAACTTTACCGATAATATAGAGGAGACCGAAGAAAACTCATTGAGGATTGCCATCATTGAGAATATATTCAATTTTGTTGGCATTGACAACGAAGCAAACAATGTATACGAGCAAAATCCGTTCCAGAGCTTGAATTCATCAGCCAGTAGCTCAGTCGTGGCGTTAAACAGCTTATCAGGCGGCTCTACTCCAAATGCCATGTATCACAGTGTTTTAAAGTTTGACCACAATGAAAACCTCATGAATACTATTAACTTGAACCAGCTTCGTAAAAAATTGTCACCACCAACCAGTCGACCATCATTTCAAAAGTCGACCAAGCGAAGAATATTACCCAGCGAGATGAACATTAAGGACGCTTTTGCCAAGGTATTGGAGTTGAAGTACATCGAACCTGACACTACCGTTGTGCAGCAAGATTCCGTATCATGCGGACTATTCTACGTCATTGACGGGTCATTGGAGGTGCACTATAAGGATTCCGAGAAGTATGCCCAACACACAACTTCAAAGTATGTGTACTCTGTTACTCCAGGAGGTGTTGCTGGCTACTTGTCGTGCGTGGTTGGGTTTCGTTCGTTAGTTTCGATAAAAACACCCAAAAAATCTGGTGCAGTCGTTGCGTTTATAGCAAAGAACGACTATAACCAGTTGCTTGATAAGTATTACTTTTTGCAATTGCCTGTTGCCATCAAGTTGAAAAATCTATTGCCAAAGGAAATTTTAACCATTGATTATGCCCTTGAATGGTGTCACATCCCGGCTGGTAATGTTTTATGTTCACAAGGCGACTTGGCAAACGGATTCCACGTGGTCCTCAGTGGTCGTTTCAGAGTAGTTAAGCGGACCGAAAAGAAGGGATCGGAGAAAGAAGACGTGGAGGTGTTGGGTGAGTATGGGCATGGAGAGTCCATAGGTGAAGTGGAAGTGTTGACCGCTTCGAGAAGAACCAACTCACTCATTGCTGTGAGAGACTCGGAAACAGCTAGAATTCCAAGAGCATTGTTTGAGCTACTTTCATTCCAGAATCCCGCGATTATGGTCAAAGTGTCCCGTTTGGTGGCATCGAAAGTACTATCATCAGAAAAAAATATTGTCCAGAGCTCACACAACTTTATAACGTCTTCAAGCAGTGAAAACTTTGCTTCTGCTGAGTACAAGACCATCACGATCTTACCTACAGTATCAGGATTACCGGTTAGAGAGTTTGCTGATAAGTTGGTCCATGCATTGAAGGCCATTGGCCGTAATGTGATTGCTTTGGACCAGGCTCTGACTTTAACGCATTTGGGAAGGCACGCTTTTGATGAAAGTTTAGCACGTTTGAAATTGTCCGGGTACTTTGCCTATTTGGAGGAAGAGTACGAGACTATTGTTTATGTCTGCGACTCACCAGTTCAATCGAACTGGACATCAGCTTGTATATCTCAAGGTGACTGTATTTTGTTGTTGGCAGATGCTGATGATGAAACCACAGCTACTTCCATTGGAGAATACGAACAGTTGTTGATTAAATTGAAAACAACAGCGCGAACTGACTTGTGTTTGATTCATCCAGACAAGTATGTCGTTTCTGGATCCACTAGCCAGTGGCTAAAGAATAGAGTCTGGGTGCAGGGTCACCACCACGTCCAAATGAGCTTGGATAAGCATAACGAATCGATTGGCCCAAGCAAGAAATCATTTATCAGTGACTTGGCTGCAAAGTTTTCTCAAAACAATCTAATAATCTCCAAATTTGAAGAGGCCACAACCAAAGCTTTTAAGCGCATGCGTCGAGACCACCACGAAGATATCACCTTAAAGTCCCACAAGAACGATTTTCTACGTCTCGCCAGGATTTTGTCAAATGAAGCTGTCGGATTAGTCTTGGGAGGAGGAGGCTCAAGAGGTATTGCCCACGTTGGTGTTGTTACTGCTTTAGAGAGACACGGTATTCCTGTTGACTTGATTGGTGGAACATCTATTGGATCTTTCGTTGGGGGTTTGTATGCAAGAGACTATAACAATGTTTCCATTTACGGCCGCGCCAAGAAGTTTTCAAAAAGGGTTGCGTCTTTGTGGAGAATGGCGTTTGACTTGACGTACCCCGTCACATCGTACATCACAGGTTACGAGTTTAACAGAGGTATATGGAAGGTGTTTGGATTTGTAGAAATTGAGGATTTCTGGCTCAAGTACTTTTGCAATTCGACAAACATTACAAACTCAACCATGGATATACATGAATCTGGCTATGCTTGGAGATTTATCAGGGCATCCATGTCTTTGGCGGGATTGCTTCCGCCAATAGCGTTCAAAGGGTGTATGCTTTTGGACGGTGGATACTTGGATAATTTGCCGGTGATGGAGATGAAGCGCCGTGGAGCTAAACATATAATTGCAGTTGACGTGGGATCGGCCGATGATCGAACTCCAATGGACTACGGTGACACGTTGAGTGGATTTTGGGTTCTTTTCAACAAATGGAATCCATTTTCCAAACACCCCAATGTACCGAATATGATGGACATTCAAATGAGACTAGCCTACGTAGCCAGTGTCAATGCTTTGGAGGAGGCGAAAAGGGCTCCAGGAGTGTACTACTTACGACCACCTATTGACAATTATGCTACCTTGGACTTTGGGAAATTTGATGAGATTTATCAAGTTGGACTAGGGTATGCTGACAAGGTGTTTACCGAGTGGGAGAGCAAGAATAAATTGCCTGAGATTGCCGGATTTGTCAACAAGGATAAGATGCAAAGCCTTGGAGAGAGGAAAATCATGTATAGAAGAAATTCCATTTAGATTAGAGCATAAAGTTAAATAAGAAATGCATTGCATACTCCGTCTATATATACTTTCTACTTTAGAGTCAGGTTGGAGGCAAAATTAAGCTTTTGCTGTCCGGTTGGGTGGCTCTTGTTGATATCATCCAATGATTTGTAAAACTCAACCACTTTTGGGTGCGACCGTACCTTGTGCTCATTAAAGTTTAGAACCTGGAGGCCCTCCCGCGAAGTTGCTCGTGATAATGCAACGTAAGACTGTCCTGTTTCAAAGACACTCTTCAAATCCACCTTGACACGAGACAAAGTCTGGCCTTGAGATTTATGTATGGACAAAGACCACGCCAACATTAGCGGGAACTGCACACGGGATACAAGTACGTGTCCATCCTCATCTTCCACTGTCCACTGTTCAGGTTCAACAAGCACCGTCCTGCTATTAACCCCATCAGGCGATAGAAACTTTACCAATGGAAACTTTCTGTTTTTGAAATCACCCAACAAATCGTTGTTTAGTTCAGATTTCCTGTCATCCGTTTGCTTACCATCATGCGTAATTACACTTTGCGTTAAAGTACCTGTTGTTAAACCTACACTTGTGTCAGGATCGTTGAATATGAAATCCTTCAACTTACCCTCTTCATCAACATGATCACCATCCTTGAAAGCTTTCATGTAAGTATCCTTGTCCACAAAATCAACAACTGTACCCAAGGAACCATTGACTAAAGTTTCGTCAAAGTTTTTGACACACATTACCTGGGCATCTTTTTTCAAGAGAAGATCTTGTGGAGCCAAAAAGTTCAGAAGCAATGATGACTTTTGTGGTTCTTGTAGAGAGCCAGAATCAATTGCACGGTAGCTAACAGTTTCACCAGGTAAAGCATTCAAACGGCGCTTATTAGCCCTTTCAACTTCGTTTCTTGTGGCAAATAGTTCCGCAGGCAGGATACCAGCAGGACATTCCAACGGTCTTGACAATCTTCTAAATTCTTGAATAGTTCTTTCCGAGATTCTCCCGTCTCTCATTTCGTTCAACATGTTGATGAAAACTTGATCTCCTTTTTGTCTAAATATTTCCTTTAAGATGATCGTCTCTTGAATCGTTTCGTTCCAAGCCAAACTTTCGAATGAAAAAAAAGCCTCAACATCATCTCTTGTGTCTCCTTCAGCATTGATTTTCTTCATTACTGGAGGGAGTTGATAAAAGTCTCCACAAGCCACCAACTGGATTCCACCAAATGGGGCATTGTTTTTTCTCAATCTTTTGGCTATTTCATTCAACTTGTCCAACAACTCACCATCAACCATGGAGACTTCATCTATAATCAAGACCTTCGTCTCTCTCCAGCGCCCGTGCGCTTTCTTGTTGCGTTTGATTTTTTTGATTAAATTGTCAACAGTTCCGGTTCCTAATCCTATAGCACCAAAACTGTGCAACGTGATTCCACCAATATTGCAAGCAGCCAAACCGGTCGATGCAGTTACTGCGACTCCAGTAGGATACTTTCGCCTCAATGCCTTGATAATAGATCGAAGCAAAACAGATTTCCCAGTTCCTGCAGACCCAGTGTAGAATAACGAAACACCATAAAGGACTTTTTGAAGTACAATCTCTTGCTCTTTAGATAATATTATGGGTTGAACGACTTTCCTTGATTGTTCAGCTTCTGGCATTTTGCTCTTCTCCACGGATGGCCTCTGGGTTGCTAGAAGGATGGTGTGATGATCTGCTGGGTATTTGCTTGGACGCTCCAACTGGGGAACTGTTGAGTAGTTTCGGGCTCGTGGTATTGCAGATCTCTCCTCTTTATAAGCATATGATAAAGGCTTAGACGATGGCGGTATAAATACGTCGTCTGGAGACTTTTGTTCACTTTTGTGCGGCAAGTTTACCACTGGGAAACTGTTTGCAGGCAGTCCCATTGTGGGGGAGGATTTGGGTTCTGATGCGTTTGTAGGGGAGCTTTTCGGCGGTGATGATGTTATTATGAACTTGCAGACTCCACTCCTAGATGGCGCTTTTACCGCTTGCGTTTGCGTTTCCGTTTGGGTTTGTGTTTGGGTTTGCGTTTGTGTTTGCGGTGCGTTAGTTCTCTTGGGCTCTGGTGGCAGACATGACGATGATGCCAGTCTTTTGAAAGATGACTCTCGTTTAGCTTGTGAAGGGGGCTCCTTTTTGGGGGATTGTTGTTGTAGCTCTGCATTGTCTATCAAGGCCATTACCTCGTCATCGTTCTCGCTAAATTCAAACGCGTCACTATCGGATAAGCTTTCAGTGAAACTATTTATTTCAAAATCTTCAACGTTCTTATTCGCCACGTCTGGAACCGCGTTTGGGGGTTGTATTTGGTGTTCACTGCTTGGTTGGTACTGCAATATGCTTCCAAGGTCGGAGATGTCGCTAAATTCAAATGACTCTTGTATTTCCTCTTTTGCTTGATGAGTTTCACGCGCTTGCGAATCGATTACTATAACCTCTCTCTGTGGAGCAGATGGTTCGGTCTTTCGCAGTGCCGGTAGGCTGTCGGTGAACTCAAATGACTCGTCGAAATCATCTTCGTTCACGTCGTTCACAACTTCACTTTGGGGAGCAATAGGGTCTGGGACGTAGTTCATTGCCATAACATCTATATAGGCACCATCATTGTCACCTTGATCTGTTTTTGTATTTACCAGGCCATTTTCCCCAGTGCTTTCATCGTCAAACGAATCGTCAACGTCAATTCCATCCAACACCTTCTTGTTGCCAGAAGCACGGACGTCAGCCATAGGGCTCTGGGGGTAGCTTTGGCTGAGTATGGAACCTCTTGATTTGTGAAACAATGCTTTATTTATTTTAATCTGTGCTGTGTACGCGTGTATATATCGTGGTATGACTTTTGTTCTACTTATTCGTAAAGTTGTCGATATTCTTCTCATGTACTGTTAGTTTCTCCTCTAATGCGATAGCCTCATGCGGTCTTTATCTTCAGCTGAGATGGGCTTGTGGTTTTGTCAGTTGCTTTGGAGATTCTCGAATCTGAAACCGATCTTAAACTATTTTGGATTTTTGTTGTGATAAAAATTTGGTCGCGTAATGTTTCACCAAAGGCGCACTGGCTCTTCTGGATAACGAGAGAGTACATTACATCAAAATTGTCGAGGAGGAGAAACGTCCCAACTGTTCTCGGACATCCCCGCTGGATTTCTAAGATCCATTACATCTACAAAAGACAAATTGTGTATTGAAATCCTACTTTGTCACTATTTATTTGCACCTATTGCCCAACCTAATCCGGAGACAAACAAATTAGAGATCTTTTCACCCGCCTTGTCTGGAAGCCTAGCTATATTCCGTTCAACCTGGCTAAGTGGTGGTCCATTGTAATCATTCTTTGGCTCGAAACCAGCAATTTTGAGCACATCAGTAGTCAGAAACTCTTTCTCGATTTTTTCGTTAAGCTTATTCCACTGGTCCAAGATTATCTTAACATGGCCGTCACAATCAATCTTTTCCAAAGTCCGCGACAAGACTTCTCTTTGCTTTATTAAAGTTTCCAAGCGGTTAGATTCAGAATCATCATCTGCCCAATTTGGCGACACGTACTTTCCCACTTGGTAGAAAGTTAGCCAGAATTCTTCAATGTTTGGAGACTTTGCAAAATGATCGATCAACTCCATACTTTGTTTATATGCGTATTGAAAGTTATTATCAATAAGTGCACTCTCAATGCAAGCACTTTTCAATCGATTGAAACATCCACTCGTATCAGACTTCTCGCCATCCTCTTCATTGAAATACAACAACAAGTCGTTTAAAATACGAAATAGCTTTTCAAACGCAAGATATGATTTCGGGTTATGCTCGAGGATCACCATTATCAACTGTATACACTTTTGTTCGTATCCTTGGTTACTGTCAGCTGAAAATTGTAGCAAATCCTTTGGCGTGAAGGGTTTCTTCTTATCATAAACCAATTTAAAGTTTTTCATGGAATTCATGGCCCGGAATAGATGCTTAAAGCGAACCATGCCTTTGTGGCTCTTTTCATTCAATCCATCAGAACGTGATAGCTTTTGAAGAAACTCGAGAAGTTGCTTAGCGTGGTGCAACGAGCCAATACTCTCATTAAAGTTGGTCGCCTGATTTAGCCTATCCCAAAATGTCTCAAAGACCAAGTCGTAAAGCTCTTGTCTAGTCAATTGGAAGTACTCTTCCTCAAAGAGAGTGTCGATAACCTGATACAAGTTTGCAGACAATAGTCTTTCTAATAGCACCGAATCGACGGCAGGCTTTTGTTCCGAGGTTATAAACTCATTCTCAAAGACACGTACCAAGTGTATCAACTGTTCCCAATTTGAAGCGGATATACTTGACGTGATAACAGTCACCTCCTTCTGAAAGTCCACTGTGCCAATGCCAAACTTGTACTGGAGGTACTTTTCCAATGTAAGCTTATTTAACGGGTACAATCTTTGACAAATTTTCAATGCTTGACTCAAGAATTCCGTTTGGCTTGGATCGAACAATGGGGACAAGGGATTGCTGTCATGTAAAAATGCTTCAAATTTGTCAAAATGCAATATTTCCTTGAGATTGAGGTCGGGCGTAGGAGAACTATGGGTGGGGAAATAAGACAACGTTTCAATAATAATGTCATAAATCTTTGTCAACTCAATCGAGGAAACCGTTGACGATTCGCCGTTAAAAGCGTAATAGTAACACGATGCAAGGTACTCCTTGGTGATGTCATCCAATTTTGACAGGTCTACCTTCTCAGTTAGCAACTTTATTGTCTCATGCCAAAGCTCATATTTCCTAAACACGGACCCTTTATGCTCTTCATGAAACATCCAGTCTTTCAAAATGGTCAAATCAAAATCAAAATACTCCAAAAGTGGTAGTATTGTCGATTTGAACCAAGTCCCGATTCCTCTAATTTCATTCGAACTTAATGGAGCAATAAAGATACCAAATTTGGCGCTTAGAGTTCTTGCTCTCAAGTAATCTTGAAATGACGCATGGGTAGATTGATAGACCATACCATAGTGAATCCAGTAGTAACCATAAGGTCTTATTATTCCCTTATACCACCTTCGAAGTTCATCAAAATGGGCATTTTCGAAAAGGCCATCGATTTCGTCAACGACATTATGAAACTGGCTCAAGTGTAATGTTTTTGCCTGGAGGAAATGAAGCAAGTTTTCGGTGTTGGATAAGTTGCTGCTGTAGTTGAAACCTAGAGACTGGGCTCTTGCATTTATGTCGTGCAATAAATCATTTGCTGTAGCTATGAGTGATGTTTCATTCGGTATGGCGAAGAATTCGTTAAATGTCACTTCTTCAACTGGCTCAGAATCGCTTAAAATGAGCTCCGCTAGGTTGTAGATGGATGGATATGGTATTGTTCCTGGATATGTGTTCACTAGCAATATATTCAAAAGATTGTGTGTGGTGTTGTAGTAAGGTTTGCTTTTTGAAGTGGCCGCTTTGACAATATTTAGTTGATCAGCCAATTGATCTTCCGAATAAGATACAAACAGCTTCACTGTAGACACGTATAATTGTGCGTCCTGTTGTGGATCAAGTGTACTACTATTCATTCTGATATCTATTGCTGGTGGAAAGGGCTTTCCACGTAAATTCTCCAAAACAAAAAAAAAAAATGTTTCAAATTTCATTATCCATAAGGACACCCACCCACCAAACTACTCACAGCTGTCACAGATGGCAACACCAAAGCAATTGGTCTTTATAGACGATGTTGCGAAGAACCATGTCAAATACTACGACCCCATATTTACCTCGTATTTGAAACTTCGACAAGATTTACTCAAGTTGTATACATCAATAGCGAAACAAATTGAAGATGCAGAGGAAGAGTCAGCAACGTCGCAAGGATCGCATATGACACGATTCAAACTACATCAGCTAGAAGTTGAGTTGAGTAAAGTAGAAACAACTTACAAGGTGCACATCGACGAACTTCTCAATCTCCTTCGCATTGAGAAAACGATAAAGCCAGACATATTAACTGGGATCGAAGAACAGTTGAAGCAGATTACTACCCAGAATGAAGAGCTCAAGGAGAAGATTACACGGATTAAAACTGTTGAAAAGCCGCTTTTGGATAGGATTACTAAATTAGTTGTCAGTTTCAACAACAACATTGACAAATCCACAGCCAAGTTGATAAACTCTACAGTCATCAAGTCCCTAAATGGGGAAAGAAGCGAAGAGCAAAAAGAAGCACATTCATTACAGGTAGACTACCGGTCCTTGGTGTTTGAAAAAGACGGATTGAGATCACAGATTAGACAGATTTTGAATGATGCCGCTGGTGAGCATGGCCATATTGACGAGTTTTTAAGAAATACGAGGATATTTGACGAATTAGAAGAGTCAAGGGTTCTTTATAAACTATCTAGATCTACACTACATGACATATCAAAAAGCAAAACTTTGGACGAATACGATGAGATGATTGCCAAAACAGTGGAGCAAATTCAAACATTGAAAAATGAAGGTGAGTCTACTAAACAAAATTGGAGCAAGAATGCAGAAAAGATGTTGAAGATCAAAGCAATTGTGAATGAAGAAAATGACAACGACGTTGAAATGACTGATGATTAGATCTGTGGGCGTGTATTAGTGTGTGTTAGTGTGTGTTGGAGGGAAGGGAAGGGCTTCACTAGTGTATTATTGTCTGTTTTTATTTATTTCTCTATAACCGGACTTATTAATATTACCGAATCTCCTCTAACAAATACCATCTCTGTCCTTTTCACCACAGGTTCAACACCGTCCTGTTCTGAAAATATCGTTTCTGTAGCATCACTCAATACCAAGTTACAATGACTGTCATAACCTTGTAATTTACCTTTAAATTCTCGAGCACCTCTTAATTTGACAATTACGTATTCGTCAAGTTGAAATCGTATCAAGTCGAGCGGTTCTTGCTGCTGTTGGTGTGCGGTCTGTACTGATGACATAGTTTGGTGGACGATAATAGGGGTGGGGTATGTTAAGTTGGAATAAGGTGAAGCTCTCAATGTGTGTTCCTTTGTTGGTTTAGAACAAAAGTCTATGCTTTTTTTTTTTCGTTGTTTAGTTCTTTCTCTCACACTCACACTCATTCTCTCTTTCTTCTTCTTCTTCCAATCCCTTTGATGAAAAAAACAAAAAAAAACAAAAATTGTTCTATTATCAAAATTTTTTTATTTCAAGAGACTGGGAATTTGACCAAAAAAGGTTCAACTCAGAATGTCACTCACACCAATACGAGCATTCCTGAGAAGCTCAAATATACTATCCAGGGCAAAACCACTCAAGTTTACTGATTTAAAGTCAATAAAGCTCCGTGCCCCCATTCCACCCACCGTTAAAAACTTTCAAGTGTCACCTGATCATCCATTATGGCAGTTCTTCCCCAATGGCAACAAAACCACATCGCCTATACGTGAATCGGAAGAGTTAGATTTAGATTCTAGAGAGTGGACCAGTGCTGAGTTACGTCGCAAGTCCTTTGAGGACTTGCATACATTATGGTATCTCACTTTGAAAGAGAGAAATGTATTGGCAAGAGAAGTAAGATTAGGGGAGAGTTTAGGCATGGGGGATTTTAGACAATTTAATATGCTTGACCACAAGCTTATAAAGACCCAGAAGAGGATAAAGCAAGTGTTGTTGGAAAGGCACATTGCATTTGAAAGAGCTCAAGCTAGTTCTGGTGTCACCGCTGAACAACAGAAATACCTTCAAGAATTCGAAGAGAGATACATCACATGTGATGCAAGTGAAATTGATGAAATGGATGCTAAATTGTTGCGATTACAATATGCATTTTTCGGTATTGAACCAACATTGGCTTTGGAAACTTTGAGCGATGATATCGACCTCAACTTCATCAACGGAATAACATACACCAGCCGAGTGAAACTAAATAGGTATTTGGAGGAGAACCCAGACACCGACTTTAGGTTGCCTTTGAATGGTATAATGGAAGAATTACCATTCTTTTTGTATGATGTCGATGAGGCTATTGATCAAGTAAACCAATTGAGAGAATCAGGACAGTCGCGTAAATTAGACAAGATTGAAGTGATCCCATTCTTGAATAATGCAATTGGGAAACATCTTGGCAATGGAGAAGAAGAAACTGTGTAACTTTTTGAATAGACCTTTGTAAATAAAATCTAGTTCGTATAGTATGAAGAACCTTATTGTATATCTTTTACATTCTTTTTGCACCAATTAGAAAAAAAAATTGTATGTGTGGATGGACAGAAATTTTTTGAAAAAAGGACAAAACACTTTCAGAAACGATCAACAACATTACTCACAGGATACACACAAGCGATATATACACAAATGGGAGGTAGAATACATGGATTCTTAGGTGGTGTCCTATTAACTTCGGCATTAACTTACTACACCGGTCAAATGTTTCAACGTAATCAACAGTTTATATCGCACAGTTTACAGCAATCTAATAACATCATCAACAATAGAATCTTGAGCGATTCCGAGTACAGAAACACTGCTATACCCAATAATCACATTGTTATCAAAGAAAGATCGGACTTTACGGAAACTTGTAAAGATATATGGAATGAAGAGATTATCAAGATGGTCAATTGGGTTTACGGAATAAACTGGTATAAACTAGGATTGAAATTGGACGATGAAGCAAACAAGATTACGGACAAGATTGCCGAGCAGTTGGCTAATAAGAAATAGGGTAGGAGTTAACTCAAATACGAAAAAAGAAAAAAAAATTGCAATTATATACATACATCTCAGAAAAGTAACGTAACTTTAATCCATTCTCTTTCTCTTTTCGTCGAAATGCTTCTTAATCTCTCGTCCTATACCCCAGTTGATTACCGGACCAAATACCAGGAGAAAGAAACTGACAATGACTTGGAACCCACCCCATTGACGAGGTAGGATGCCCAAGGAACTACATCCCAAAACCCATCCTATGAAATCGGTAGTTATCGTGTCGTACCCTTTAGCCAATTGATCAAACACCATATCAGCACATTCATCGCTTGGGATGGGCACACTTGGACCCTCAATTATCTTTGTCAATTCCGGTTTAGTCTTTTGTTCTTCATCGAACCCTTCACTTTGGAAATTACCAGGAAACACACACGATACTCGGTAATTGTATGGCTTCAATTCTTGTCTTAGAATCACTGATAATGATTCAAGTGCTGCTTTCATTGGGGCGTATTGTGAGTATCCAACAAAGGGGAAAAAGGAAACAACTGAACTGAATATAACAATATGTCTCAATGGCCAATTTTGAGGCGGAGTTGATTCGTTAATAGCGAGCAAATGTTTAAATCCACTATGAACCACATTCAAAGCCGTTCGGTAGTTGATATTGATCCCAGCATCAAGGTCTTGTGAAGTTAAGTCGCTGAATAATTTGGGCACACTAGACCCAGCACAACAAAAGATTATGGTGGGGTCATAGCCATGGGCCGTGATTTGTTTCCACAAATTGACAAAATCCTCATAACTGGATGCATCACAGGAATAACAAGCAATTTTAGCTGTGTGGTTGACGTGTGTCTTTGGTAAACCAAGTATATACTCGACTTGTTTATCTAATTTCGATTGGGTTCTAGCAACAAGGATTACCGAGCAGTTTTGCTGATATAGCTTTTTGGCAATATCTGCACCAACCCCTTGAGAAGCACCTACTACCAATGCAGTTTTGCCATCGACAGGGAAGTTAGATTTGGAGAACCACATAATGGGGAGATGAAAGTGGAGAATATTTTACATTTGACGCGTTTAATCCATCATCTGTTTTTTTTTTTTTTTTTTTTTTATCTAATCGAGGCGCTTAATCACTATATACACGAATTACGTTTTATATCTATGCTGATTTTAAAAATGGTGATGGAGGTATAACCGATTCCTGTGGGGTGTTGCTATCGCTGTTGCTCATTCTTGGCCTGGTTTTATACTTTTTCGATACTAACAATTTTCCTTTTAAATCACCTGTGTGTCTCTCCATATTGGGTAAGCTTTCCAACAGTTGTTTTAATTTTGCATCGACAGTGGCATCTGCATCTTCAACACCATGCTTGAAAAATTCTTTTTTACAGGTTTCAACAGCATCTCTAAACACTTGTTCACCCTCAGGCCTGCCACTAGTCAATTTCTTGACATTTAATTGTGTTATATCATCCAAGGGTATATTTTGCAACTCCAACTTGGCAACAGCTTTAGCAGTAAACCACAACTTGATTTCATATTTAGAGTCAACTAGTTCTAGAACACACATGGGTGCTTTATCTTCACCCAATCTTGGTTCCAATTTGATGATTCTCGTGAAACCATGGTCTCTATTCTTGTACCGATCACTTAATTCACGAATTACTTTCAATCCAACGTCTTGCTTATCAGGTGGTTGTAAATAATCAAATGCTTTTATTTTCAAAAGTTTCTCTCCCAGATTAGGAGCATTGACAGTCTTGCTTTCGGCAAGAGCTTTGCCGAGAAATCGTTCAATGTGAGGTTGTGCTTGTCTTGCTTTGGCTTGTGTGGTTATTATATTTTCATTTCGTATGACATTAGCACAGAGGTTCTTGTATATCATCTTCTTATGCGTAGCCACATCCTTGTTGAAATGGTTTATCGTGACCATCGTGGCAGTAGATTTAAGGGGGAGGGGGTAAAGGTATGAGCTCAGTGGTCTTAAATCCACTCCTAGAGTTGAGTTGAAATTTTTTTCTTTTCTTTTCTCTTCAGAGTGAGAAGAAAAAAGCCAGTGTCGTAACATATGAATAAATAACATTCATTTTAAATGACAATTGTAAAAATGTGAAAAAAAAAGAAAAATTATTTCAATGAAACCTCATCACTAACAACTAGTCCCCTTCCACCACAGACAAAAGCTTGAATTACAAAACTGCAATATGCATTTGATGTACACATTAGACGCCGAGGGCAAGAGAATATACACTTTGAAGAAAACCACCGAATCTGGTCAAATTACAGAATCCGCTCACCCAGCCAGATTTAGTCCTGATGATAAATATTCAAGACAAAGAGTCACTTTGAAAAAGAGATTCGGGTTGTTGCCAACACAAAACTAGGAAAAAAAAGATGGAGAGTTTAATGATGGTTGGGGTTTTAGGAAAGAGAGAAGGAGAGAGAAAGAGGGAGATAGGTTTTCATAGGATGACTTTAATGTATATTAGATTATTTGATTATTTTAAGACTGTTGGTTAGTCGATGGACTTTGGAGGCAACTTGTGTAGCAGGTGAGCAGCTTTAACAAAATCCATCATATCGGTACTCATACAAAGTACCTATTTTCTTATGAATATTGCATGGATGCAAGTCTGACGCTGAACTTGTACTTAATTCTGGGGGAAGTTCACCTATTGAGATGAATTCACAGCAAACACAACTCTATTCTGACGGTAACTGCGCGTAGTGGTGAGTAACAACCGAAATACTCTGCCTCACCTCTTTCCTTTATACATCTCATTCTCCTCCTCTTGTTCTTGTTCTTGTTCTTGTTTTTCTTCTTCCTCCTCTTCTTCTGCTTGAGCAGTCTCCATTTGTCCAGTGACTTGCAAATTATATTCGGCATTTCTAATATAACTCTCCCACATCCTAGCCAATACCTCCGTTGGCAAATTGTTCTTGTTCGCATCACCGAGTAACTTCTTCATTTCAACTACTGACTCATTCAAGTTCTCCTAGAGTTATTGGTGTTAGTAAAAGAAAGAAAGAACAAAACCAGGAAAAGTTGCCCAGGCATTTTGAGGAAAAGATAAAAAAAAACGTACCATATTGGTTATTATCCTTGATAGGAGCATGTTGTGTGTTTGTTCGTGTGGGTTCTCCATGGTTGATGATACGTAAATCTTTTGGTGTGGTGCTGTTGTTGTCTGTTGTTGTTGTGATTATAGTTTTCAGCTTTCGCGTGTGGCTTTTGTTTTTCTCGGCTGATCCTTTTGACAATTTTTTTTTTTTCAAAAGCGTCAAAACCTATCTTCAATTCAGCACCTCCACTTCCAGAGAGAAAAACCACCAACATGGATAAAGTACTTATCATATTACTATCCATATTAATTGGATTCTTAATCCTATTAGTCCAATTCTTTCTTCAATCGGGTGGATTAAAAACCATAAAAATCTCCAACAAGTCACCTTACTTTAAACCAAGCTTTATCATATGTGGAGCCAACAATAGTGGGAAAACTGCCCTTTTCTATCGTCTTAGCACCCACACCTTGGAGGATGAGAAGAAGAAGGAGAAGGATGGTCGAATCACAACTACGGTTTCATCAATTGAACCTAATTTTGGTGAAATCAAATTACCAATCACTACACCAAGTATAGGCAAGAATTATCAGTTGGTTGATTACCCGGGACATTTAAAATACTGGAACTTATTTACCAAATTGATTAAAAATGATATAACTTTATCTAACATTAAAGGGGTTGTTGTTGTTATTGATTCAAGTAGCGCCACCTGGACCAAGGTTGGCAACAACAACAATGCAGCTGGCGCCGGAGCTGGTACTAATGAAGTTGAGAAAATTACCAAATTCTTGTACAATTTATTAGCCATAACTGAACGCAAGCATAATGGAATTGATTTCTTATTTGCCGTCAACAAATCCGATTTGTTTGATTCGTTACCAATACACAAGATAAGAACCATTTTGGAACTGGAGATTGATAAATTAATTCATAACGAAATCAACAATGTTGATAAGACTTCGGGTATTGATGTGATTGAAGACATTGATGGAAACGGCGATAATGAAAATGGAGAAGGTGGTGGTAGTGGTACTGATGGTGGATATAGGGAGAATTTACGAGAGTTTTGGTTGAGTATTATTGGCTCTAATGAGGGGCAATTTACGTTTGATAAATTGGAAGGGAATATGGATTTTATGAGTGGTAGTGTGTTGAAGAATAAGATTGATAAATGGGAGTGTTGGTTTGATGAAAAAGTGGTTAATACATGAGTGAGGGGAAGGGATGTTTTGAAGAACAGTAGTCTATTTGTGCATTCTGTGTGTATATATAGGGCAATTTAATAATGATTGGTCAAAAGAATAAACTTGTATTTGTGATATGATATTCCCATTCATTGGAAGGTAAGGTTGGCAGCGGCAACATTTCTAGTATGTGAATGACTAGAAAAAGCAACACTTTTTGAGTCGGTATTTTTTTGATCATGTCGGATCAACACTTCTGCATCCAACTTTTAGGCTTTTGTTTAGGCTTTTGTTTAGGCTTTTGTTTAAGATATGCTATGATTTGGTGCTGATGGGAAAAATCCTGCTTGTTGAATCTTTTCACTTCGTTCCTTATTATACTTTTTCTTTTGATGCAGCATTAATCTATTTCTGTAAACTTGTTGATTTAGGGTATATTTCTTGAATTTGAAATTTTTCAATTCATCTTGTTTATTATTCAATTCCGTTTCCGTGGTGTTCAATTGTTTCTTTAATGTCTCGTACTTGTGGCCACTTGTGCCTCCTCCTTTTTCACCCTCTTTTTGTTTATTGTTCTCTGATTCAGTGCCATTACTTTTACTCTTATCCTTATCGGACAACTTGCTCGTTTCAGTGGGTTTGTCCTTTGACCAGTAGGTGCTAATACCCCATAAGTATGGTTTTGCAGCATCAACTTCTTTCTTCAATGTATCCACCTTTTGAGTCAAGTTATCCACCGTCTTTTTTAACTCAGTGTACTCCTCCAGTGGTATAGGTGAGGCAAATTGAGCATCTAGCAAATGTTGGACACAAGTGTAGAAAAAGTCGAGATTGTTTTCAGCGAGTAGTACTGTGGTTGCTGGCTTGAAACATATGGTGCATGGTTTAGCATCTGTTTGTGCTACAAGACGTGCATTGTATTTATTGGGGAATGGTGGTTGCTGTGGCTTACTCATATACGAAGGAAAGGGTGTGTTTGGATGATTCACAGTGTCGATTCAGATAACGAAACAACAGTCGCAAAATAACTTTTCTTGTCTTAAAAGACGCAACACGTGACTTTTGTAACTTCAAGTCCTATCTTTTATTTAAAAAGTACACACATCTCTTTTCCTTGGAAGCGAAAAAGTAGTAGAGGAGATGACGTATTTAGCAAATTATGGAACTTTTCAGTTCGAGATGAGTTATAGAAAGAGCATCGATGATATATACACCTAAGTGAACAAGAGTTGGTGTTGCTGCAAAAGTTGTGATTGTGAGTCCATATCAATAATAACATTACTTCCCATCAACTAAATTGCAGGGTGAGGTAAGGTGTAACTCTACATTTGACACAGTCCCCATTGAGATCGAATCAGCAAAAGCCTCAGATATGATAGGATATAATCGGATATTATATTATATGGAATGACCTTTTTAATGGTTAGGAGAAATATCCACACTTTAATACAGATAGTGTCGTAAAAAAATAGGAGTGACAAAACTGGGTGAGTCACATTTATTAAATTGCGTCATTCCTTTTAAAATGTCGTGGAATAAAAATGTCGTCACATCGTGTTTCGGAGGAGACAAAATGGGAACAGGAGAAAGCCAAACACAAAACACGAAAAGCTTAAAATCAAACTGAGTGCTGGGTACAGTAAGCTAATACTGCAAAGTTTAAAGTAAGTACTACGTCAAAAATGAAAGAGAAGATACAGTTGCAGTCAGTTGAAGCATTGATCTCAAAAAGCGAATAGGAAAGAGGTGCGTATAAGTGTAGTGTTGTAAATGTCGTATTTAAATATTTTATCAGTTGATTTGCATAGTAAAGTAAAGTAAAAAGTTGTGTGCCAATTATTATTTTCGTCTCCTCTTTTTGTAATAATTTATATGAACCTAAGCCACACTCAAAGATGATTGACACGTGACCATATGAAAATAAATAGAAAAGATTCTTTCATAGTATATATATGAGTTTGTATTAGTCTACTCCTACCCTGGGCCTGTCGAATTAAAAAGGGACTTGTAGACAATACCGAGGTATCTGATAAACGACATCTTCAGTCAGTTGTGTTGTGCTGTGTTGTATTGTGATTGATGTTTCAAATGTTACGACATTATAAATAAATAATACTTTAGCCAATAGTACACTACTTTATTTCCCAATTGAGATAAATTTATTATTTATTTATTTACTATACCACCTGCATATTAACTTTTATTACAAAAGAACAACAACCAAAAAGAAAAAAAAAAAGAAAAATTTCAACAGCTTGTCCTTCCTTCCTTCCTTCCTCCCCAAACAGCAAAAAAAAAAGAGAAAAAAAAATCCCTCACCCTTTTTACTAATACACTTTTCTTTTACTAAGCCTATATATCACATCATCATCAAATACTATATACTATAAGCACACCCTTTACCACATCCTTCTACCCCCTTATACATACCCTTTCACACATCTAACGTACTAGTCGTAGCAACAGATTTACACACACACACACACACACATCATCACTTTTCTGCTAACCTCTTTACAAGTTTATTCATATTAAAGAAAAATACTACAGAAAAAAAAAACAGCAACACTACATCTCAATGTCCACTACAGCAGAACATCAAGAAGCCGATATCGACTCAATTGTTGATAGATTACTAGAAGTTAGAGGATCACGTCCAGGTAAACAAGTGACTTTAGCTGAACACGAAATTCGTTATCTTTGTACGAAAGCTAGAGAAATTTTCATTCAACAGCCTATTTTATTGGAGTTGGAGGCACCAATCAAGATCTGTGGGGATATTCATGGTCAATACTATGATTTATTAAGATTATTTGAATACGGTGGATTCCCTCCTGAGGCTAATTACTTGTTTCTTGGTGATTATGTCGATAGAGGTAAACAAAGTTTAGAAACCATTTGTCTTTTGTTGGCTTACAAGATTAAGTATCCCGAAAACTTTTTCATTCTTAGAGGTAACCATGAATGTGCTTCAATTAATCGTATTTATGGATTTTACGACGAATGTAAACGAAGATACAATATTAAACTTTGGAAAACATTTACTGATTGTTTCAACTGTTTGCCAATTGCTGCTATAATTGATGAAAAAATATTCACCATGCATGGTGGTTTATCTCCTGATTTGAATTCAATGGAACAAATTAGAAGAGTTATGCGTCCAACTGATATTCCTGATGTTGGATTATTGTGTGATTTATTGTGGTCTGATCCTGATAAGGATATCACTGGTTGGTCAGAAAATGATCGTGGTGTGTCTTTTACTTTTGGTCCTGATGTTGTTTCTCGTTTTTTGCAAAAGCACGATATGGATCTAATTTGTCGTGCCCATCAAGTTGTTGAAGATGGGTATGAATTTTTCAGTAAACGACAATTGGTTACTTTATTCTCAGCACCAAACTACTGTGGTGAATTTGACAATGCTGGTGCAATGATGTCGGTTGATGAATCGTTGTTGTGTTCGTTTCAAATTTTGAAACCAGCCGATAAAAAGCCAAGATATCCTTCTTCAGCTTCTTCATCGGTTGGTGGTGGTGCTAATAGACCAAACCCAAACACCAGGAAACCAAAAAAGGCAACCAAGTAAAACATCCCGTCCGTCCAAAAAAAGCTCATTGTTATAAAGGTGAGCATCAAGCCATTTGACCCGTGTGTTTCTTGACTACTTTTTTTATCGTGTCCCTTTTTTTTATTACTACTACTATGATTATTATTGTTATTGGTGTATCAGCACAATCACTAGAACACGCAGCCAATGAATTCAAAAATAACTACACAAGTTATTATTCCCCGCCATCAACCACACTGAACCCAAATTGAAATAGGAGTATCCCAATCATGCATTTTCCTGTAACTACATCTACATCTACACCTACACCTACATCTACACACGAGCATACCATACTCCCATGCATAAACTAAACACACTTTGTTCATCCACTGATTTATGTTTTGTTAACTCAAAAAAAAAAACTTGCAACAATAGCTTTTCATTTGTTTGTCTTTTGTCTGCATCTGTACACTAGTTTTTCCATCCAAACTCATAAGATCATATTACGACATCAAGCCATCGACGCATCAGATCAACCGCTCCCCTTTCATATCACTTGCTTTTTTTTTTTACTTCATAACGCCAGAGAACAAAGAGTAAAGAGATAGAAGTGGATCCTATCTTCTCTTCAATTCAATTGAAAGTTTTAGAAAAAGTACTGGAACTCAAGTTCGTTAATGACTGTCAATTTATGTGGTCCGCAAATGGTCACTTGGGTTTTCTTTCATTACACCCTCAATTACTTTTGAAGATTTATGATGATTGATGATATATGATGATGATGCACATCTGCACATCTAAAAAAGATTTCATTTGTTCTTTTTTCAAAATCCTGTATTACTATTATTTCCATTTGTCCTTTCTTTTTTCCACTATTACTGCATTTTGCGTTTAAGCTACATTGATGATGATATTTGACGACGGTTGGGTTGTTGATAGATTTACTTCCATTTTTTTACAATTTACATTATTATAAAGCGTAGCCAAGGAGAAGGAGGTTGACCTTCTTTTTCCGAGGTATATATAGTGATATAGATGGATATAGAAAGAAAGAAAGAAAGAAAGAAAGGAAGAAAAGCGAAGAGAGAAGGGGCCGTTGTCGTCGTCCAAATTGCGTGCGATTTAGTTTGAAGAGAATGAAAATATTTTGACGCATTTTATTGTTTATATTTTTAGTGGCTGCAAAAAAAAAAAAAAGAAGAGAAGAAAGAAAATGGAAATTATATAAATATGCTTTTTATTTGTTACTTTTTGTTATGATTGCAATTTATGATTGTGGTGGTAGTTGGAATTGAGTTGAGTTGAGTTGATGGTTGGTTCGAGTCTTATATATGAGTTTATTAGTTTTTGTATTGTTTTTTTTGTTGTCTTTTGTTTGTTGTTGATTTAGTTTATAAGGGACTTATTTTATGTGTTAGATGTGACGAATGCTGTTGAAGAGAGATGATACGTTAAGTTGAGAGGATGTTTTTGAAGAATATAAGCTATTCTGTTGTTGTTGTTGTTGTTGTTGGGTTTATCAAACTTTAGTTGTTTGCTGAATAATTTATGTTGCGATTTGTTTGAGCGTGCTGCTTTTTCGGTTTTATCATATTTTTTTATATTCCGTCAGAAAGAGAGAGAGAGAGAGATTATTATGCGCTGGACGATACTAGGGGTACCAGATTCTTAAAACTTTAGGAAATCCACCAGTGCTTTTTTTGTTTATTTTATGTTTAGTTTTGAATGTACACCATTTTTTTAATATATAACTTTTAATTAGAAGATTGTAGGTTTGAGTCTTGGAAAGAAGAGAACGGTGCAAACAATATGATCTTACCACTTTTTTACTGCTTTCTGAAGAACCAGAGATGTTGGAATAGTTGAATGGATTTGAAGCTTTCGCTAGTATTATCCCCCCTCTGTTGGTTGCAAAAAATATAAATATATATATAACAGGAACATTGCATTAGGGCTGTAACCCTGTATTTAACTACTATAATTTTGTATGACTTTGTGTAATATTACACCATGAAAAAAAAATTGTTTTTTGTTAGTAACAGTTCAAACATCTTTTGCCAAAAGGAGAGAGAGAAATTTTTTTTTCAAGAACAGTGTTATACCAGAACAACAGGAACATCAGTTAATAACAGTACACAATGGTATGTGTTTTATCGAAGGCACTATGTGTGATGGATTATTGAGAGATCATTCATGAATGGAAAAGAGGAATAGAGTTTATACCGTGGAGATTGAACAGATATAGGGATTTAGGAGATTGAGTAAATGAACTCGAAGCGGGGTTAAAATAGAATGAATAGAGGATTCAGTATCATCAGCATTATATTAAGCAAAAAAGCTAATGATGAGTTTCTAATAGGGAGTGTGAGATTAGTTTGTCGGGCATGAATCTATTTCGAATGTGGAGGAGGACATTGAAGGATCCCAGTCCAAGCTTTGAAATTCTAATTTTTGACATCAAAGAAGAAAAGAGACCAACAGCTTGAGTGGAGATGTGGTTCACGGGGCCACCTCCAATGACCTTAAGTACACCACAAGCCAATTGCCAAAGCACATTACTCATCTCCAATCGACCCTCTCTCTGAAACTCCGTAACTGCATCATCATCTCATTCCATCTCGATTAATCCCATAATCAATCAAGTCAAAAATATACTAACTATATAATTCAGGTTTTAGTTCAAGATTTATTACACCCATCTCCAGCTTCCGAAGCCAAGCAACATAAATTGAAATTGTTGGTACAACAACCAAGATCATTCTTTATGGATGTCAAATGTCAAGGATGTTTGAACATCACCACTGTTTTCAGCCATGCTCAAACTGCCGTCACTTGTGACTCATGCTCAACTGTATTGTGTACTCCAACTGGTGGTAAAGCTAAGTTGACTGAAGGTTGTTCTTTCAGAAGAAAGTAAATTTGCTGAGTTAGTAGAAGCAGATTTGTTGGAGTTTTTTCTAATATAGAGAAGGAGGAAGACAGGAAGAGAACGAGAGTTTTAGCGGGAGAAACGCTAAGAGGTAGACGATGATTATGATGGCTTCCTTTGCTGTGCTTTTATTTGTTTTGCTTGGGAAATCATTTTGATGAAACGGGAATTACATGTATCATAATTTTGAGTATATATATGTGTGTGTGTGTTTATATATATATATATATATACATATGTATACTAAAAAGGTTTATTCAAAACATAGTAATACTAATATACATTTCTATTACATTTGACAATGATAAGGATACTTCTCATGTGTAGAGACACTTTGTTTTTTAAAATAAAACATACTTTGTATTAAAATGTTATATATATAAAATCAAAGATCAAACTAGCGCCCTGTATAACAATCTTTATAAAATCTGTATCACAACCTTGTATCATCAAAAATAACTGCGTGGGGTAAAAATCAGCTTTTATCTAAAGTTTTGGTTGAACATTTCTCACCACTTCGTCGATTGCATTGGCAACTTTATCAACATTGCCATCATTCAAACCAGCAACCGAAGCTCTACCACTAGAAACCAAGTAAACACCATGTTTCTTCTCTAATCTTTCAACTTGTTCTGGACTTAACCCAGTAAATGAAAACATACCAGTTTGTTCAGTTATATGATTCCAAGTACCTGGAGTACCCAATTTCTCCAACTTCGTTCTCAAAGTATCTCTCATTTTGATGATTCTCGATGACATCGTCGTCAAATCTTTTCTCCATTGCGAGTATAATGCTGTGTCGTTAAGTATAGTGGCAACGATTTTGGATCCGTATGCGGGAGGATTTGAAATTTCACAACGAATAATCAAGTTCAATTGTGATTTCACGGCTCTACCAAATTGATCATCTTTAGTTGGCAACACGACATGGATAGCACCAACTCTTTCACCGTACATACCAACATTTTTAGCAAATGATTGACAAATGATAATTGGCGTTGATTTGATGGCAGAATCATTAATGGCTTTACGAATTGGATAAGCATCTTTTTCCAAATCACCTGAAGCAAATCCCTGATAAGCTGAATCGAAAATGATCAAATGTTTCTTGGCCTCCAATGCAGCCAAGATTTGGTTCCATTGTTCATAATTAGGATCCAATCCAGTTGGGTTGTGAGCACATGCATGCAAAAGGAAAATCGATCCTGGTTCAGCTGATTGAATAGTCCTTAAAAACCCATCCAAATCCAAAGACTTTGTTTCCTTGTTCCAGTAAGGATACGACCTGACTGTCAATCCCAAAGTGTCAAACACTTGTTTATGGTTAGCCCAAGTTGGTTGCGACAAGTAAATGGTATGAGGTCCACCAGAATAAAATTTTTTCAAAAATAATCCTGCCAAATGCAATGCACCTGTTCCTGATAAACTTTGTTGAGACACAACACGTTGGTCCTTGATGGCTGGTGATGCATCGCCCAATAATACCTTAGCAGCACCGGTGTAAAATGGCTCAAATCCGGAAATTGACAAGTATTCATGATTATAGTCTGGTGAGTTGATTAATTTTTGTTCAGCTTGACGGACAGCTGGCAAGATCCATGGTTTACCGTTGTTGTCACGATAAGCACCAATACCCAAATCAACTTTATCCTTACGTGTATCTTGGTTGTATCTTGCCTTTAATCCAAATAATGGATCTGGGGGTAATTCGGTAACGTTGGTGAATACTTGAGACATTATTTGTTTTTTTGTATCTTTTTTTGTTTTTATTGAAGATGAAGGAACAACAGCAACAGAAACAACAGCAGATGAGTAGACTTAGTTCTGTCTTGGTTGTGACTTGAAGAAAGAAGTGAAAGTGATAATTTCCTTTTACTCTGGAAGGGGGAAAAAGTAGTAGGATAGTGTGGTGCTTTTATTCGAAAAGGTTGGGTTGTATTTTTTTTTTTTTGGTGGGGGAGTGGTCGGGTGGATATAAAAAGATTTTCGGAAGAATTTTGTGGAGAGTCGTGTACTCTTGGTAATATTTCTTTTTGTTGTTGTTTATATATTTTTTGCGTTTAACAAATAATTCCCTCCCATCCGAAAGGCAATTTGTCTTGTGCCAAATTATTTAACAAAGGAATGAGGGGTAAAAAGCGTTTTTGACGTGCACGTGACTACAGCGTTTGCTATGTATAGGCATTTATTTTTAACAATTGAATTGTCGAATTTGCGAGAAGGAATAAAAGACCACAATACTGTTAAAGATTTCCTTGAGGTGTATTGAATCTTTCCTCTACAACGTGAAGGAAATAACAGTGAGGTATACTGGTGGTGCTACACCCATGGTGTCCTGGTCTTGTAGTTTACTTACTGTTTGTCTTACCCCTCTAAGAGAACTACACTTTTGGCGTTTTAGACAATTTCTCCAAAAGGCTTTTTTTTGGGCTATTTGTTTTTTTCTTCTGGTTATCGGTTGATCTCGGGATGGAAAAGTGCTATTATGCAGCATTAAACTTGGAAAGCATCAGCAAAATGTCTTCACCAACACCACCTTCACCGCAAGCACCCATCTCCATCCTCCCCACCACAAGAAATAAGCGCTCTGCTGCCACGAACAACCTTTTTGCTTTAATTGCGAGAGGTACCATACATGTCAAACCTATTTTTAGCATTAAGGTGTTAGACGTGGCCTAGAAGGACCTCCCCATATTAAACGGCTTTTTGAGGAGATTTAAAAGTGGAGTATCAATCAGAGATGTGAAGTTACTTTTATTGCAATTAAACTTCGTACTATTATTTTCCATAATTTGTTGCAAATTGTAACAGAGACGTAACATGAATTTTCGTGTCACTCGTTTGATAAGAAATGCAAAACCGTAAGGATTATGAACAAACCAACATAAGTGTAACTTTCGTACTTCATTGAAACAAGAAGAAATCGTTGCTACTTATTTTGAATTGACTGCAAAATTAATCAAATTATGCCAAATTGAAGATTTGACTTCGAGACACGACTATGAAGTCCTAGGCCTTTATAGTTGCGCTGAGACATGAGAACACTATATCCCATCAAAGAAGGAGAGAAAATGTGAAGAGCTTCCTACTAGGTGTAGCTCGTTCCATACCAATGTGGACCTTTTGCAGCCGTCACTTCGCACCAGTATAAACCGCTGACTCATTTTTGCACCAAAAAAAGAAAAAGAAACAAAATGAATTAGTCAGTTGATGAGTGAAAAAAAAAGGTCAAATTGAAAAAAAAGAGAAAATCAATCGATAACTTACTTTAAAACCAACTAAATCATGTCTTCATTTGGAACATTATTCAAGGTCACAACCTACGGAGAATCGCACTGTAAATCAGTGGGGTGTATAGTTGATGGGTGTCCACCCGGTTTGAAATTGACTGAAGATGACATTCAACCTCAGTTAACCAGAAGAAGACCAGGACAAAGCAAATTGTCCACTCCAAGAAACGAGGCCGATGCCGTGGAGATACAAAGTGGGACAGAAAAGGGTGTCACTTTAGGTAGCCCCATTGGTATGATTGTCCGTAATAAAGATCATCGTCCTGGTGACTACAGTGAAACCGATTTATACCCAAGACCAAGTCATGCTGATTACACATATATACAGAAATATGGATTGAAATCTGGATCAGGTGGAGGAAGATCATCAGCTAGGGAAACTATCGGAAGAGTAGCAGCTGGTGCCATTGCTGAAAAGATTTTACACGAAGTAAACAATGTTGAAATTGTGGCATTTGTTTCGTCAATTGGTGAAGTTGGTATGGATAGAAATGCTCAAGACCCAACTTTCCAAAATATCTTAAACACAATCACCAGGGAACAGGTTGACAATGTTGGACCAGTAAGGTGCCCTGACGACGGAGTACGAGACGAAATGGTCAAAGTTATCGAAAAGTACCGTGATGCCAAAGATTCCATTGGTGGTGTTGTCACTTGTGTCATTCGCAATTGTCCAATTGGATTGGGTGAACCATGCTTTGACAAATTAGAAGCCAAATTGGCCCACGCAATGTTGAGTTTACCAGCTACAAAAGGGTTTGAAATTGGATCAGGGTTCTTGGGTACACAAATCCCCGGATCAAAGCATAATGATCCATTCATTCACGATGAAAAAAATAATCGGTTAAGAACTAAAACTAACAACTCTGGTGGTATCCAAGGTGGTATTTCCAATGGTGAAAATATTTATTTCTCAGTAGCTTTCAAATCAGCAGCTACAATCAGTCAAGAACAGGAAACAGCTACATATGATGGTAAGTCCGGTGTTTTGGCTGCTAGAGGAAGACACGATCCAAGTGTCACTCCAAGAGCAGTTCCTATTGTTGAAGCTATGACTGCTCTAGTATTGTGTGACGAATTCATGATCCAACAGGCAAGAAGCGCAACTGCTGGATTGTTGACTAAGTAGAGCGGAAAAGCTATATTGTTAAATAGTTACAGATATGTTACAAACCTGGACATTTATTGTCGTTGCAATTTTCTCTTTTGTATATTATCCTCAAAACGCGTATATATGAATTGGATTGTAAAAAATCAACACGTATGAAATTTCTCACGAGAACAATTTTTTTTTCCACCAAGTCGATCCCAGCAACTTCTTTTAATACCACCACGACCAAGTACAAAAAGCCAGCCCCAACCATGAAGTTGTTTTTGTCAATTTTCCTATTCATTTCGTCAATATTGGCCCACAATGTCCTTTTACAACCATACGGTAAACAATGCTTTTTTGAAGACTTGAAAAAGAACGATGAATTGGCTCTTTCATTTCAAGTAGGATCACGTAACCCCCTGAACCCAGAACAACACGCCGTTGACTTTTACATTACCTCACCTCAGGGCCAAACGCTTATCAAACGTTCCAACATAGCTCATGGTGATGAATCAGTCAAAGCTTCTCAAACTGGTAGGTTCCAATACTGTTTCTCCAATGAACATTCTGGTAAAGCTGACATTGATGTCAGTTTCAATATCCATGGAGTTGTTTACGTTGACGCCAATGATCCAAAAGCTGACACTTTGGATTATGCAATCCAAAGATTGAGTGTCTTGACTGATGAGGTTAAAGCTGAACAAGGGTATTTGGTCATTAGAGAAAGAACCCACAGAAACACTGCCGAATCAACCAATTCTCGAGTTAAATGGTGGTCAGTTTTCCAAATTTTTGTTGTTGCTGCTAATTCTCTTTTCCAAATTTATTACTTGAGAAGGTTCTTTGAGGTAAAATCAGTTGTATAGATCGAGTGAAGAAAGGAATAGTCTTGCTAGGAGAAACCTTTTAAAGAAAGAGCCAAGGAGTGGCTCAGCAACCGCTCCTGTGTTAAATCAGGTGTGCCGTAGAATTTTTACTTCTCATTCACACTTTAAGGAGACGATTCTTTTATTTGAAACCTATAAAATCTCTTACTATCGGGTACATTTAAAACCAGAAGTCAACAATGTCACTCTCGTCTGTATATCTCACTGGAGCTACACCAAGTTTCCCTGTCTCATAATTATTAGTAAGGAAAGTGTGTTTAAGAAGCGGAACGCCCACGTTTTGCGTCGCTCCATGGTGTCCTGTCTTTGTAATACGGGCGTTGCAAGCTGTTTTACCCGAGTTCCAGTAAAAGACATCTGAATAAGGCACGTTAATTTTGATGCCTTGTCCAAGATCAAAGGTGAATGATTTGTTTCCAGCTAATGCTATATCGCACGAAACCTTGCCCTTTTCATCACGCACCTCTTTAAATATCTGGTCGACAATGGTCGGATCCAACGTTAAGCCAACATTTCCGGTATCCAATGCCAAGACGCTTGGGAAGGGTAAAACTGTTCCATTCGAGGTGGTAATTGACTTTCCGGGTATTGCAAGATGTGTATCGTAAAGTGCCAATTCTCCTTCATATTTGGCTTTATCAACACCACCTAAAAGAAAGGTTCCTTTGAGATCGGAGCCTGTATAGATTGAAAACCCTGCATTGTTGATATACCCAGCTTTTTTAGTAGCCGCAATGTAGGAGACATTGGCATCAGTACTGTACCCGATACCAAAGATACCTCTTGGATAGTAAGTTGCATTGAGTAAATTGAACTCGAAGTCAGGGAGCTTCTTACCATCATCCAAGTAAAAATCATCAGTCAGTTTAAACCCCGAAACCTGCACGGCGCCCCCGCCACCATACAATGACCTGCTGAAAATACTGAGATTTCTAAAAGTAGTTGATTCGGATGGGTCAAAAGTTGTTCCAGCAGCACACTTGCCACCATGGCATTTTGCATCAACACCTGGGAAATTTAAGCTCCAGCTTCCTGTATCAATCAAAACTGACACCTCTTGTTTATTAGATCCAATCTTCAATTTTATATTGTAATTTGCACCAGTTCCATCAAAACTTTCCAGCTCATACCTTTTACCAATAGATGAGAATTCAGAATGCTCAATGGGATAAGCAATGTACTTGTCATGTTTCTTTTCAATTGGAGTGCTGTTGGCGACAGCAGCTAATAAGAAGACCAACACCGATGTTTTGAGCAAAGATAACATAGTTGATTGTTGTTTTTGTAATAAGTCTGACAGATTAGGAGTAGAAGCCTAGCCTTTTATAGACTTTCAAAATGAAGTGTGAAATAACTCTTCTCCACCTCCTATCGGAAATTGACCATTGGAGTAGGAGTCAATTGGGCCATGTGGTACATTCAAACAACAACAATAGCACTATCATAACCATACAACCACGTAACAGCAAGAATAGACATGACACTTTATAACTCATCGGCTTTGTAATTGACGTTGTCATTCTGCGAAATGAAATTCCATCGATTTCTCATAACCTTTTTGTACAAGCAGAAAGGTAAACTCTCTCTACCACATTTATTTTTAGTTTTTGTGTTGTGATGCCGTACGCAATTCGTATAGTGTTGGTGTGGTTGATTTTGATATTTCCATTGTTGAACTTGATAACATAAAGGCTAGAGAGGAGACTTTTTTGACTTTAGGCAAAAGTGATTCTCCACTGAACAAAACAAGAACNTATGAGTATTGTTTTGACATGGTTATGATACTTTACAATACAATTACACTGAACAATGTAGCATAATTTGTACACATTTCCTTTTCACCAATGGTTGAGCGAAGAGTTTACAAACCCGAGTGACAAGGAGGGAAATACGTCATTTGCAGCACTAAACCGGACTGCAATAAAGCGCCCCTCAAGTGGGGTTACGAGGATCGCAGTGTAATCCAATGGTTTTTCACCCACTTTGAAATGTCGCAGCAATTGAGCGATGCTGAGGTGTTGGTGCCGTTTCCACGGCAACTTCAGCAGTGATAATGGTTATGACTCTTTAGGG